CTTTCACAGTCTCTACCCCCCGTCACCAACGTCCCGTGGCGTTGTACGTCGTCATTCGTCAAGGTGTGACGTGGACACACTCGATTGTCTAGAATAACATGTGCACGGGATGGCTTTCTCGAAAAAAATATGGTAAACGAGACGGAGCCGTGTCGGTAGTGTTGTATTTCTTTTTTTTACGTCTCTTTCAGAACCCGGGAATATCGGTATTCCGTCGGTTCTGTTCGGAATAAAAGGGTGACAGGGAAAGTTACTTATTTTCCTTTTACTTGTATTATTATACGAAAGCCTCGAAGCCAACTGGTTGACGAAGGCTATTTATGTATGTATGCCGTACCCAGACTTTGTTTTCGACGTCCATGTTGACGTTCGTTCACTGTCTTACGGACGTATATATATATATATACCTTGTTCTTTCTGGTAAAGCTTTCTGCATTATGTAAGAACTGTCTGATGGAGGACTCGACCGGACAGACTATCTTCTTGTACGACACCTACCCTACTGGAAGAGCTTTTTCATCGGGATAATTGCGTTGCCCGAGGACGTTTAGACGGGGGCCATGAAAATTTTACTTGACACCTCCTCCCTGTGAGCACTTGGTAACCCAGGGCAAAAGCTTTGGTAAATAATACTGTCTGGAGGTATGATTTGCGGTTTAGGGTTTAGGTATCTGTGATATGTGAGGTTATGTATGGCAACCATGTAGACAATTACGGAGAATACCCTCAGGGTTGCGACGTAGCACGTTTCAGAAATAGGTAGATTACGCGAGGACGATTAACGAATGGTCTCTTTTTTTTTCTTTCTCGGATTTATTGAAGTTGCGTGTCGAAAAGTAACAATGGGTTTTTTAAGTGCGTGACTCTTCTTTTTTATTATTGGTGTAAAATTTCTAGCTGACGGTTTTTCGACCTTTAAAGTGGGGACATGATTATTCTTGGGGCCAGTGGAGCAATGGGTATAAGTAATTATAAGGTAAAAAACCCATTTTAATGGCTAAATCGTGTTAGGGTCCTAATTATATAATCGTTTTCCTTGACACACCCACGTGAACTTTAACCTTCCATGAGTCGTCACATGTCACGAAGTAATTATCACTGTTTTTTTTTTTGGTTTCAAGGACGTCGTTATTATGTGTTTGAGAATTCAAATTTGACGATGTCAATGTAATTATAATGTATTCATTGCCTTGCCGTCCAAGAGGGCACAAGGAGCGTCGATCTTGAGAAATTCCGTTTGGCCATTAAGTATTAAATATGTAAGACGAGAAACTAGCGTTTACTTAAGAAATTACGAGGTATATCGTCACTCAGCTGTAGCTGACAAGTCAGCTAAATAGTTTGTCTCTCATGAGCCAATGAGCATCCTGAAACTGTTTCAGAAGTTCGGAGGATCATGGAGCCAGCGGGGGCGGTGGCAGTACCGGAGGTAGTGTCGGCGGCGGGGGCAGTGCCGAGGGTTTCGAGCCACGTGGTTCCCACGGGAGCTTCTACGGGAGCGAGAGGAGTAACCGGGTCGGCGGCGTCGGAGTCGTGGGACATCCAGCGGCGGAGTCGACGGGCGACCCAGGTGGTTACATACCACGCGGTAGACCACCACCAGGAGGCGGTTACCACGTGACCTCGACGAGGGCGAGGGATCGGCTATATCCGCGAACAGGACCGTACGCGAGCGGACCACCACCACCTCACCTAGAACGTCATCGCGGTAGTCTACCACCCTCGTCCTGGCCCAGCTACGAGTCGAGCGGCTCGAGATACGGCTCGGTACCACCGCCGCCAACCCCAGCTGCCACGGACGCCTATCAGGAAGAGACCGGCGGGGGTACCGGTGGTCCCGGTACCGGCGGTACAGGCTCGCTACGTCAGCACAAGAAACAGCGAAGAAAATCACGAAGTGGTAGCAGCTCGCCGAGTGGGTCCAGCAGGAGCGGCAGCAGCAGCAGCAGTCGTAGCGGGAGCTCGGCCGGTAGCACTTCCGGTGGTAGCAGCTCCCCAAGTAGCTCGCCTCATCGGGCTGGCAATGCCGCCGTTACCGAAGACCGCAGGCCACTCGCTATATGCGTGAGGAACTTGCCGGCAAGGAGTAGCGACACCTCGCTCAAGGATGGCTTGTTTCACGAGTACAAAAAACACGGGAAGGTCACGTGGGTCAAGGTTGTCGGCGCTGCCGGGGACAGGTATGCTCTGGTGTGCTTCAAAAAGCCTGAGGACGTTGAAAAGGCTCTTGAGGTATCGCACGATAAGCTCTTCTTTGGATGCAAGATCGAGGTCGCGCCTTATCAGGGTTACGATGTCGAGGATAACGAGTTTCGACCTTACGAGGCTGAACTAGACGAGTATCATCCGAAAGCCACCAGGACACTTTTCATCGGGAATCTCGAGAAGGACGTCACTGCTTCTGAACTTAGGAAACACTTTGAACCCTTTGGAGAAATTATTGTGAGTACATCTTCGCGAAGGAACTGATCGTTGCGTCTCTTAGTCGAAAGGAAAGTGGAGAACTAATGGAATTTTATTTGGATTCTGCGTAGGAAATTGATATCAAGAAACAAGGAGCTGTCTCCAGTTATGCCTTTTGTCAGTACTCCGACATCAGCAGTGTGGTCAAGGCTATGAGGTCCATGGATGGAGAACATCTTGGTTCTAATAGGATCAAACTAGGTTTTGGAAAGTCCATGCCAACTTCCTGTGTTTGGGTTGATGGTATCGGAGGTATATGAAGCTTTACATGGTTACTTTACTTGTGGGGGATTTTCTAAACTTTTTCTTAATTTGGACTTTTTTTTACTTCAGAGTGCGTTTCGGAAAAGTATATAAACATCCAGTTCCACCAATTCGGTCCCATCACTCAGGTTGTGGTAGACCGTGAGCGGGGACATGCTCTGGTTTTCTTCGATCAGATAAGTTGCGCGCAGGCTGCCGTCAAGGAAATGCGTGGGGCTACTTTCAGAGGCCGTCGACTTCAGGTCGACTTTGCCTCTAGAGAATGTCAGGAAACCTTCTACGAGCACTTGGAACGTCAAGGCATAGCTGGGGAAAAACCTTGGGACACCAGGCCATCACCGGCAGCTACTTTTGATGTCACGTGAGTGATACACATTAATTTTTATAATGAATTGGTCAGTTAGCGCAATTAATTATTAAGAAGACAAATTGCCGTTGGACTGTTCTAGGCGGGATAGGAATTTCGAACCGGTGGTCCCAGTGCCCAATGCCGGAAGTAGGTTCACCAGGTATGAAACACCTCCAAGAGCGCGGACGGCTAGTTACAGTCGGACACCGGGAGGCGGTAGCACGCCTGGGGCGAGTCCGGCTCACCCAACGGCGATGTCTCGAGGTAGCCGACGCTACCAAACAGACCCCTACTACGAGAGTGACTACACCGAGCCAGTGCCACGTCGATTCCGCAGCTACGACGAGTTCAGTCAGGGTAGCGGAGCGAGTCACGACGATTACGACACCGGCGTCATCGGGGACGTCAAACTCGCTGAGGACGACTGTCCACCACCTCCACGTCGGCATGCCATACAGAGCGTGGTGACCAGTGTAGAGCCACCAGCACCACCTCCACCTCTTCTACCACCTCCGGACATCCGGCATCTCCAAAAGGAGCGTGTCCATCTTCTCGAACAACTTGAGGAGTGCCATAGCAGCGGAGACGAGGGTTTTACCCCGAAGAAGAGGCCGAAGCTCGATGCTGCTACTATCCTCTGCGAGGATGACGAGCCAGAAATTGCGTCTCTCTTGGTAACATCACACTCTGGGAGAAAGGGTATGGACGTTCGGAGAGTCAGTGATAGCAAACTCCTAGTCCATTACGGTACCAAGAGGGGCAGCTGTGACAGCAGGGCGCCTGGTCCATGTAAAAGGCGTCGGGACGCCAATAGACATCACGAGCATCATGATGGCTCAAGACCCGGAACACCATTGGTTGATGAGCGACCAGAGAACCTTATTCCAAGCGAGCCAAGGAGGTTTCGTGAACGTAGCCACGAGGGTCCACTTTCACTTCCGCTGCCCAGGTTTGCTGCTCAAATGATGAACAACAACAATAACAACAACAACAACAATAATAACAATGGAGGAAGAGCGACGAGTGCCTCGCTAGCGAAGGTAGCGAGTCCTCCCTGTACTACGAGTCTACCACCGGTCCCCAGCCCCAGGACAGCACCCCAACCACCAGCATCGCCACCCCCGAGGCATCCGAGTCCAAGTCCAACGAGTTCCGACAGCGAAACGGCACCACAGTCTCCAAGCCTCGAAGAGAGAATACGGTCCCTCGATGAGAAGTACGAGAAGTGGTCAGGATCCCGTGCTCTGAGCGCAGCCGGCGGTGACGCTCTCGCCAAGCTGGATGCCTCAGCCTCCGAGAGATTCAGGTTTCGACACAAGCTTCTCGACCTGGACCTCCACGAGGTACAACCCTCTGACATCGTGAAGTCAGTCCTGGCAAAGAGGAGTGTCTTCGATGAGGACTCGAAACGCCTGGAAAACTTTAGCGAAAAGTACGAACCCCGCGAGTTCACTGGTGTCATCGGTGTCGGTTCTATGATCGGCAGTGGGAGTCTCGTTGGCTGTACCGGAAAGGTCGGGCTTCAGTATCCGTTTCCTAGTCATCCACCGGTACAGGCCAACACGACAGTGGGTAGTAGCCTACTGACACCAGGAGGTACCACGACGACGACGACCTCCCCATCCCTTTTGAACGTGTCGCCCGCATTGAAGGGTGACTCTAGGACAGTTCACAATTGCGTGCATCCAATCCCAGCAACACCCGTCACACCCGGTACCTCGATAAAGACAGTGAGCCCCGAGTTACCCCCTGTGTCGTTGCCAATTGGTGGCGCTAATGCTAGTGCCGCGAGCAGTGACAGTGCCCTGAGTGCTTGTAGTGCAAGTGGCGGTAGTGTTCCCAGTGTCCATAGAAATGCGAGTAATCCAGCCAGCATTGGAAATGCTGCAATGGGTCCATCCATAACGCGGCTACCAATCAATCCGGCTTCGATTCATTCATCTTCGATAAGTACGACGACCTCGATGACGATGACGACGACGGCAGCGGCAACGACGTCTTCCACGACGAGTTCGACGTCTTCGAGTACGAGTGTCAATGCTACGACGACGACTGCGGCGGCCGGAGTTGTAGCATTGACGAACAACAATTCTAATTCTATAACTGTGACGAGTAGCGCAAGTGGCGCCGCTCTATTGGCGACGAGTGTTTCTAGTACTACGACGGCGACGACGACGCTAACGACTACACCTGGTATAACGACTACGGCGACGAGTTCCTTTACTGGTACGATCTCTAATACTTTGACGACGTCATCGGTATCGATCTGCGTCGTTAGTACCACCGGAGTTTTGTCCTCCTCATCGTCGTCTTCGTGCTCATCCTCCTCGTCGACTACCTCTTCGGTTGGCGATATGCCACGAGCGCGTCTCAGGAAGGACACCGGAAATAGCTCACGAGAGAGTAGAGACTCGCGCGACAGTAGAGACGGTAGGGATAATAGAGACACTAGAGAAACTAGAGACGGTAGGGAATCTAGACATAGCAAAGGTAAAGATGGCTCGAGGAGATCGCGTAAGGATCCGGAAGGGGAAGTGGAGAAGAGCCGTAAGGTTGAACGCGAGGATAAGGACGATCGGTTGAATCCTGGCGGTGGTACCGAGTCTTCGGAGCCCGAAGCGCATCCTCGTGACTTCAAGGACGCGACGAATAAGGAGACCAAGTATGAGAGGAAAGAACGGGAGGAGAGAGAACGGCGAGAAAAGGACGAGAGAGAGCGGCAAGAGCGGAGGGACAGGGAGGAGAGAGAACGGCAGGAACGTAAGGAACGAGAGGAACGCGAGAGAAGAGAGAAGGATGAGGAGAGGAGAGAACGCGAGAGACTTGAGAAAGAGAGGTTTGAAAAGCGAGAGAGAGAAGAGAAGGAGAAGAAAGAGCGTGAAGCGCGAGAGAGGGAGGAGCGCGAAAGGAAGGAAAGAGAAGAGAATGAATTGAGAGAGAGAGAACGTAAGGAAAGGGACGAACGAGAAAGACGCGAGAGGGAGGAGCGAGAGAGGAGAGACAAGGAGCGTCTCGAAAGGGAAAGAAAGGAACGCGAAGAGAAGGAACGTCAAGAGAGGCGCGAGAGAGAAGAGCGCGAAAGGCGGGAGAGGGAGGAGCGCGAACGAAAGGAGAGGGATCGACTGGAACGCGAGAAACAAGAAAAGGAACGTCTCAGGAAAGAAAAGGAGGAACAGGAAAGGCGAGAGAGAGAGGAACGAGATAGAATCGAGAGAGACAGACGACGTGAAAAGGAGGAGAAGGAACGCGTGGAAAGAGAAAGAAAGCGCGAGAGAGAAGAGAAAGAGAGGCTGGAGAGAGAACGACGAAAAGAGAAGGATGAGCGGGAGAGGTTGGAGAAGGAAAAGCGCGAGAAGGAGGAGAAGGAGAAAATGGAAAAGGAAAAGCACGAAAGAGAAAAGAGACGGGAACGCGAGGAGCGTGAAAAACGCGAACGGGAGGAACAAGAAAGAAGAGAAAAGGAAAGAACCATCGAGAGGGAGAAGAGAAGAGATCGCGAAGAGAAGGATAAAACGAGAGAGCGCGATGATTCTCGAAGACCAACGGAAAATCATCACGTAACCAACATGCAAAATCAAACCTCTCCGGCACCTCTCTCGATAAAACGTAGAGCTTCTTCCCAGGATGCGCCGCCAGATGACGCTGATGTTAAACGCATGAAGATATCGGATCACAGAAGAGACAGTAAGGATAGACCAAGACAAAATAGAAGATCCGAAGACAGGAAACACCGTAACGAGCATCGTGCCAGTCGTGAGAGTCGCGAGGGTCGCGACAGCAAGGAAACTATTCAAGACAGTCGCGACAGCCAATCGCGTGAGAACCCCTCGCACTGCGACATCTCGCGTGAGCAAAGTCGCGAGAGTCGAGAAAGCCGTGAGAGTCGGGACAGCAGAGATCCAAAGGACAAGCAACGCAGTAGCAAGAAAAATCGTCCGGAAAGAAGTGAGAAGGAAGCTAGAGATCGCAGTCCAAGAGTCTCGCACGAGTCCGATAAAGAGTTTCTTGCTAGGCTTGAACTCTCGAAGAGGAACGATGATCAGAACAGCATCAGCCATCATTCTAGGGACAATCAGTCCTCTCTAGGGCTCCATAGTGACGTGGACGACGGTGTATTGTCCAATCACGAAATGCAAATTATGAGGCATCCATCAGCTACGGATACCGACAGTGATGAACCCAAGAAACATTCTATATTTGACATCGTCGACGACGAGCCGGCCTACATCAGTATGTACGACAAGGTCAAGGCGAGATCCACTAAGAATATGCAGAAACTGGAGGAAGAGAAGCGACAGGTACGTCTTCCCAAGGATAAGTTCTCTCAACTTAAACAGAGTAGAGCTAGACGCGAAGAGAAGAAGCAGAGTACATCCTGGGATGGCGATTCTGTAAGTAGTAAAGCCCTTACTGAGGATGAGGCTACGTCTGAGTCGGATTCGGCACGCGCGAAGTCCCTGTCCAGGAAGGGTTCCCGCTCGAGAATTCATTCGGACACCAGCGAAGAGGAGGAATCGTTTAATAGCAAGATGCATAAAGTGAAAAATGAGCGATTCCTGGAGAGCGACGTCGATCTGGGTTTTGCTGATACCGAGGAGAAGCAGAATCCTTTGAAGTCATCCATGAACAGTATACCCGGCAGTAAAGAGGAACCGAGAACCTCTGACGATGATGAAAGGATACCCGTTGCATTCCACATTAACCATCCTGTGAACAATCACGAGCGAGACTCGCGCAAGAAGTCGCATAAGAAGAAGCAGAAGCGACAAAAGAATTCGATATCGAGCGAGGAAGGCGTGAAGCTGGAAGCTTCTGACAGTACCGAGCATAAAAACAAGTCTAGTGTCATTACTGGCTCTATGGAAGGATCCAATTCTACCGAGCAGAACGTAGAGAGCGCTGAGGAGAGGATGAGAGCTGACAAGAAACAGAGAAACAAGAAAGAAAAACGACGAGAGCGTAATGGAGAGGATAAGGTCAAGGCTAGAAGGAAGAGGCTCAACAGACAGGAAGGAAGAGACTCTCAAAGAATGGAGGATATCTTTGGGCCCTTGTCTGACGTCGATGATCCACCACATACCTTCTTCAATAGACTTGGTAGTCTTCCTGCTGATAATACATATGCGTCTGACAGTGAGGGGGCTAGGAGTCCTGTCCTGGAAGTTGAGAGAGTGCGCAGAAAGACAGAGAAGAAACGAAGGCATCAGGCTGAGGACGAGAACAGTGTCGATCTGGCTGAAGCTGGTAGAGAAATTGAAGCTAAACTCTTTGGGCTTTCTACCTCGCCTAAAGCGACTCCAGGTGAAGGACATGATCATGACGTATTCCGGTTTACAGATGATAATGACAGTATTGAACCATCCACGCCGACTACGGCACCGGAAAAAGTTAAGGAGAAGAAGAAGAAGAGAAAGAAGTCAAAGGAGGAACGTTCCAGGAAAGACTATCATCATCATCACCACCATGAGAAGTCAGGGAACCTACCTTATCTGGGTGCTGATTCTAGTCCACCTAGAGCTAGCAGTCCTATAGTTCCAAAGATGATGTCCCCAACGTTGCCAAGTCCTAGGGAAGCTCTTCTAAGCCCTATACCTAAAATAGCTTCGAGTATGTCAACGATAGCACCAATCACTCCAGTAAGTGGTGTCGGAAACAAACCAGAGAAGAAGAAGGACAAGTTTATCCCAGGCTTTGGAACGGATATTGATGAGACCATCCACGAGAATGCAGTAAAGAGTATATCCGAACCTGAAGAACGCGAGAATGGTAGACAGTCGCGCAGCAGAGATGAACCGGAAGTAGCAGCTCCATCCACACCGCCACCTCAAGTGGAGGACAAGCCTCGTGTAGTGATCTCCCAGGAGGAAACGGAGGATGCTGTAGCGGCTCTGTTGGAAGAAACGTTTGGTGGTTCGACCGAAGACTTTTCTTATGAGGGTGAAGAGGAAGCTGAGGGTGATAGTGCCAGCGGACCCCAGGCGGATGCGCCTCAGGAAGATGTTGAAGAAATGCAGCAAGCTGTGGAAAGTCTCAACGCTTCCGGTGAGGCGGAAACCGATCTTAAGCCTGATACACCGCAGAGCGAACATGATCTCCAGATAGACACAGATACGGAAGAAGATCCTAATTATGAGTCATTTGATTTGACTCAACCACCCAAGACTCCAGATATACCATCCTTCTACAAGTCGCCAGCTAAAACTCCAACAGAGAAGCCAGCAGAGACCAAAGTACCGATCAGTCCTGCGAAACCTGCGAGCCCACCAAGTTCAGTCATAGCTCATTCGTGGAGTCTGGGTGATCACAAACTACGTGATGCCAAAGATGATCCTGAACCTACACAGGAGGTCAAACCAGTTCATCGACCATCTACACCACCCCCTCAGTATAAACCATCCTTGCTAAGTCCTTGCAGTGTACCAATGCTGAACGAGACACCAAAGATACCAGCAGCAAGTCCCCGTCCACCACCAGTCACTCAGCCGCTATATCAGAGATTACCAGTGTCTCCACAAACTCAGATGGTTCCTTTGAGACAAGCATCACCAAGAATGCAGAATACTACGTCTGCATCCGTTTTGACACAGCTACCACCCTTGGTGCCATCAAGGATACCACCATTGATACCGGCTCAATTATCACCAAGAGTTCCACAGCCTCTCTCGCCCAATGGGCAGTGGTCTAGGAGTTCCGCTTTGAGTCCGCATGTTCCTAACGCGAGCAAACCTTCGCCGTCACCTGCAAGACTCCCAGTCAGCGTACCTATTTCGGCACACAGACCGGATACGCCTGCACAGCAGATCTACTCAACTCCAGCTACTCAGCAACCTGTCATACAGCATGCACCAGGAATGCGAGCTCTGCAACCCAGCTATCCCCGAGGAGGACTTCCGCCACTTACATTGAATATTCCACCACGACCGTACATGCCTGTACCACCACTGGCTCCAGGATCGGTAAAGACTTCACGAGATGCTACGTCTATTGGAAAATCTGTAATTGAGACTCTAATCCCTGTCAATGCCAACGAGCCTCAGCGCCTGGAAGAGCCAAAATTGTCACCAGCTGTTATTCCTGAACCTTCTAATAAGGCATCGACGTCTCCCAAGGTGCCATCTCCAAATCAGCCACCGACGTACATACCCGAAACTGCTAAGATTGAGATAAATGCCAGTACCTCTAGTCCTGTTTTTGGCAAACCCATCGGTCCAGAAACATGCATGTTGTCACCTAGGCAGCAGAAGCTATCTGTCCTTACTGATAACGAACTATTGTCACCAAGACAAAAGCAAGAACTGTCGAATTTGCAATTGCTGACAACTCATATACCCAGGACTTCAGTTGCCAATCCAGTAATAATGACAGTGTCGCGTGGACCACAGCCTCTCGTCCATAGCTCTCTGCCTACTCTTAGTCCACCATCTTCTTCGCCTCAACCACTTGTCAAAACAGTTGTACCAATTGTTCCTCCAGTACCACCTATTACACAATGTAGCTTGGTAATTCCACAAACTGCCGGGCGAATGTCGCCAGTTCCTACCCAGAGGCAGTCTCCAGTTTCTCAAGGAATCTTACTGGCCAAGCCTCACGTACCTCTTGTCTCAACTGTGTCGCAGTCTATTATAACGCACGCAGTGCCAGTTACTGTGTCAGCCTCAATGCCTACCGTTGAACAAACTCCACAAAAAATAGAAAGTCATTTTGAACACAATCTGCAACATCTGGAACTCGAACCTCCGACTGTACAAGTTGGTCACAATGTACCAACACCGCAACCAATGCAATTAACACCGCCAGTACAACCGACACAACCTATAGAAGTTAAACAGACTGAACCTTTGGAACCTCTAAAACCTATTAAAGTAGAAAATATTAAAGTGGAACAACCAAGTAGCGAAGTTGAAGTGAAACCGAAGATCGAGAAACAAGAGTCTCCTGTACCAACTGAATCACAACCAACTGAAAAACCAGTACCAGTATCAACACCAACACCAGTTCTAGTGAAGCCTGTCGAACTCTTGATCCCTAAAACAGAACCAGACTTATCGGAAATACCAGAACCCACTGTTGAGGTGAAACAGGAAGAGCCTCTTAAAGAGCCAAAAGTTGAGACGTACAAGAGCGAGGAACTAGATCCAGAAGAAGAACCTGTGGATCATCTGAAGGAGCCTAGTACAGACCCTCTGGCTATAGATCCTGTCAAAGAAGACCCTACAGACAGTAAGGAGGACAGTGACTACTGGTCTGCCAAGGAAGTGAACATAGAAAGCGTTATCAAGAAGGTGGATGCCTTATGCGATGGTGAAGGTAACGAGGGCGAGGAAGAAACGCAACACAGCCAGGAACTGAACAATGACTCTCATGAGATAAGTAAGAACGAGAGTGACTGGTTTGATGAATCAGCTGAAGGAGAAGGGAAGAAAGATGTTCAAAATGATGACCAGGATGAGGGTGTGGAAACCTGTGAGACAGAATCCACCAGGGCCCGCCGTGGAAGATCTAAAGCTAGACGTGGTGCAGGTAGTCGAGGAGGTGTTACTACCAGGCGTGGTGGTAGAAATGCAACCAATGTTCCCCATCGGCGTGGCGGCAGAACAGGAAGAGGAAGTAAACATCACGTGGAGAAGAAACTTCCCGCGGATGTCTATGAGTTCCATGATGATAGCGAAGAGGACAACGCTGGGAGACCCAGATTAATTCTCACCATCAAATCTCCAGGTCCTAACGTTGCTGGCTCAAATGCTCAGCCAGCTACTCCAGTAGCAGCTGTTAAGGAGGTCCCACCAGAAGAATTTATATCTCCCGCTGCCAATACCAGAAAATCCAGAAGACTAGCTGAAAGAGACGGCAGTCGTAACACAGTCGATGATGTTATCGAGGATGTAGTTCGTGGTTCAGCCGTAAACAAAACTGGTGCTGCTGGTGTACATGCTACCAGACGTAGTACAAGACACAACAGTGCGCCAAGAGTTAATCAGCAAGTTCCTCAGCAACCAGTAACATCTGAACTACGTAAGTCACCTAGAGCAAATCGCAAGGCTACAAGACGTACATCCGAGACCAATGACGACAGCAGCGAGGAAAAGACTAAGGAACCAGTACAATCAGTGCTCCAAGAGACATCGAATAAGCAGCATTCTCCTGTTTCTGAAGGAAACTTAATAAAACAAACAGAAGAACCCAACAAGATACCATCACCAGCACAGAAAACAACATCCTTGGAACCTATGACTCTGATAGACCCAGTCACGGGTATGCTTATTCCAATGAGAGAATCAGAAGAAGGTCAATACATTCCAGTATCCAATTCTGGCCAGACGATCAGACCCACAACAGAACTTCAACAACCACCAACAATTATCGGCCATCCACCTTCTGAAGCTCAAGAAGTTAAACCAGCGCCTCAGGCTGTTCCTGTCGTTGAGGAATGTAAACCTAAACCTAAACCTGAACCAGTGATTGCACCTGCCGTTAGCATGGAACAACCTGTATGCCAGTCAGTTACACCTGCAGTGACTCAGGCTCCTCAGGCGCAGCCGCCGGTACAGCCTCCGGTTCAGCCTCCGGTTCAGCCTTCGATTCCGCCTCTGGTTCAACCGCAGACCAGTGTCATCACCAAACCTCATTCACCAGTGGTGCAAATTACTGCGACTGTGGTTCAGTCTGTAACAACTGTTTCAAGTGTGGTTACCACGCAGGCTATTACTACACCTTCTTGTGTTTCTCAGGCGAAGCCGACGAGTCTGAAGGCTCATGTTCTGAATGCAAGTAAACTTGGGAATCCTATAAAGCAACAGATTATCACAAAACCTGCCGTTTCTAGCCTGCCCAGTCAGACTATCGTACAGAATATCGTGAAACAACCAGCACAGGCTATCCAAGCTCTGCACCTAAAGATACCTGGTGGAAGAGTCGTGTCACCAAGTCTTAGTCCCCGACTAAAACAACAAGTTCCAGAGATCGTAGTGAAACAGGGTCAGCCTATGTCGCCAGTGCTGAACAACGTGGTGCCACCTAATCCTAAGCAACATCTTCTCCAAGCCGCTAAACAACATCCTCCTACCATTGTGAATCTACCACAGAAGTTGCCTATTAATATTCATCCAAGCAGTATTGCCACTGCACCGGCTCAGAGAATTCATCAACCTCCACCGTCTCAGCCTGCTGCCCTGAAAGCAATCAATGGACAACCTCATCCGCTCAATCCTAAGGCGCATCTTCTTCAGGCTGTTGTACCACCAATTGTTACGGGAGCTGTAGCTAGTCCACCGACTCAGCCTCATCTAATTGGTCCACAGCCAGTTGTTACTGGTGCCAGCTGTTCAAGATCAGCTGTACCAAAACCTCAGGTGGGTTTTACTTCTATGAAAATAATTAGAAGTCCTGGATTAACACGTTAAAGGTATCTCTTAAAAATCTATTCTTTTAGGTTACCGGTACAATGGAACCTCCGAAGGTAGAAGTTTCCATGTCAGGATGCATAATGGTGCCTACTGCGAGTCCTCAGAGTCGCGCAGTATCCATAGCAGCATATGAAGCTTCACTGGTAAGGATAATGTTAGAATTACGAGCATGCTATGATGGTATTTTTAACGAAATGTTATTGTAGTAATATATTTTATAAAATATGTGAAATTGAATCATCTTATATCTCCCTTGTTTTATTGTGCTGAAAAACTAACTTTGCTTGGTTTTGGTAGCATGGTGCGGGTGCAGCTCCATCACCAGGAGGTCAATATGGACTGGTACCTCCTCATCGTTCCCAGAGTCCTCCTCTGCCCCCACCTGCCCATCTTCATGCTAATGCTCCTCAGGTACTTACATTCAAGCTTTGCTAATGAACTATCAAAATGTGTTGTCAATACTTCAATTATCCAAACTTATACAATAAACACCGCTTTACATAATAATTAATTATATTTTCCAGAGCGACGTGGTTAATCATTATGGCGGGTTGGCACGTGGTGAACTACCACCTCACTATATGCATCCTCAGATGATTCAGCAGTATCAATACCTACGTGCTCAACAGGAAGCACTCACTGCGCCGCCGAGAATAGCATATCATGTGCCTGGAACTAGATCTCCGCATCTACCTTTGGATCCCAAGTTGGAGGCTGGTGGCGATGAAAGTCATAGTCCACCGCTGGAATTGAGACGCACCACTAGAACACCTCAGGATCGCACTACGGACAGTCCACAAGTAGCCCAAGTTTACATGCTTCATGGGAATGCACGTTTACCTCCTCAGTACACCGGGAACAACGTGGCTCTTACTGGAGTTGCCGTGGGAGCTCGAGGTGGATACTATGAACCACCACCAGCTCATATCAGATCTCAGTATCCAATGGCAGCTAGTGAAGCACCTACAGACAGAGCTATCACACCTGACAGACCCAGAAAGCACCAGGTCGCCACTCCACCTCACGCGGCCCAGGTTCCACCACAGGCAGATTCCCTGCTGATGCTTCTGCAACGCTATCCCGTCATGTGGCAAGGTCTTCTGGCACTTAAGAACGACCAGGCTGCTGTACAGATGCACTTTGTCTTTGGTAATCCCAACGTAGCCAGGGACAGTCTACCTTGCAATAGCGACGGATCCACTCCACCGCTTAGAATAGCCCAGAGGATGAGATTGGAGCAGACCCAAGTCGAAGGAGTTGCCAGGAAGATGCAGGTATGCCTATAACTATATATTTACTATCTATTTAACGTGTAATCTTCACAAGTATTCTTTATTCTCTAATTTTCTTTTTCTTAGACCGATAACGAACATTGCATGCTACTGGCTCTTCCCTGTGGACGAGATCACATGGACGTACTCCAGCAAAGTAAAAATCTCCAGACCGGATTCATAACCTATCTGCAGCAGAAGCAAGCGGCAGGAATCGTGAACATCGCAGCACCAGGTTCTCAACAGGTGAGCCTTCAAAACAGGCACGCACACGAAAAACATCATAATATATTTCCAGAACATATACCACATATACCACTCTTATTTCTATATAACATATATTTTGTATAATACTCCTAGCCTGCCTACGTGGTGCACATATTCCCTTCGTGTGACTTTGCAAACGAGAGTCTCGCCCGGATCGCACCAGACCTTCTGCATCGGGTCGCCGAGATCGCCCACCTGCTCATCGTAATCGCCACCGTCTGAGACCAGTTGGTCCTTTGGATTTCGCTCTGCTACAATCACCACGTTAACGAGAACGACCGAGTGTCTTTCCCGTCCTGGCAGCTGGATGCTTTTTACGCGGCATGAAGCCCAGAGTATCCTGTGTCACGGAGAAATAACCAGAAACGTTAAACCAGATGAAATACAGACAAACCTATGGGGAGGAGTCAACGAATCGTCCTCGATGACAACAGTCAGGAATACCCTCTCGTTGTCCACCCTTGTTTGACAATCAAATTGAGAACCATTAAGTTACCGCGTGCACTGGATCTACGTCAGACTGTAGGCCTAAATGGAGCGATGGGGTTTCTGTACGGAAGAGGTTAGCATAACGAGTATATCCATATGCGTACCTCTTCCGTTAAAACATTTGGCATTAATATAAACTCCACTTGTAGTTGCTATTAAGCCAAATCCACTGACACAGTTTGTGGGGGGCGACCGACTTCACTCTTGGTCTCTCCGACAAGTGAGTCAGGAATGTACCCCATTGCTCCACGAAGCCATCGACGAACATTCAACTAAAGAGCAAAAAATAAAAGAAAGTGATTGAGAAAGGGGCACAAGAGAGGACACTAACAGGATAACGACAGGCGCGTCCAGCACTCGTCTCCATCCCGAGTAAATGCGACATCGGGATTTTACAACTGATAAAACTGATTAGTAAGAACACCGTTAGACACTTACATTATTCATTGACATGACGCGAGGGATAAACGTAAAGAAATCGTATATGTGTATATATATGTATATAGATATACATATATAAACATATATATATAGAAAGTGAGAGAAAGAAAGATACCAGATTTACAAGCGAGAGAGATTAAAGGAAAGAAAGCGATAAAAAGTATGGAAGTAAATTCTACCTATACGCGAAGCTACTTTGTAAGCCTAGACTTTAATATTGTAAATTAAGTGAGCCAGCGAGGGCATAACTACTGTGATTTTAATTATTTAACGATATCTGCATAAAAGGAAAAAAAACAACATTAAGACCTGTTTCTGGTCCGCGCGATATGTGATGTGTTTTTGTATAATATTGCTCTATATAAATACCTATGTACTATATTACTTCTACTATTATCATCATCATTATTATTATTATTATTAATATTATTATATCTGCTACTATTACTACCGTAACGACAAGTTGATAACGACGACGACGTCACCATCGCCGCCGTCCTCGTCGTTGTTCACTGTCGATAAAGTAAAAATGGTAAAGGAAAGAAAAAAAAAATATAAATTGTCGCCGTCGTCGCTGCCGCCGTTTAAAAAGCTGCCGCCACCGCCGCTGCTCCTGTCAAACTAGAAAGTAAATTTAATCTAGAAGTTCCCTAGACGAAGAATTGATGCTAAGGACTATGCCTCCCCTACCCCGCTCCTCGAACAACCCCCGGAGTAATGTAGCGATTATCCCTAGTGTATCATAAAATTCCCCTAGCAGGATGTAACATATTATTATGCCTAGCGTTATGTACATTATAAAAGATTTGTAATATTAATTACTATTCATTTATTATTATTAATTAATATTATTATCCGCTATTAATTATTATTAAAAGTTATTACACGGGCTAGCTAGAATGTACCGACCTGCACGTTAACGGGGCTTAAAGAATGTCATACCGCTTTCGAGTATGATCGATCTCATTGACCATTGACGCTGCCCCATAACGATTGACACTTCCATCCTTGATTCCTGACACTGACTTTTTCTGTAAAATATATGCACGTTGATGCATTGACAGTTGAGACTGACGGAATTGACACTGACAGACAGACATACGTATATATATACTCTCTCTTACACCCATCTACAGGACGCAGTCGTAACTTACACGGTACAAAGAAATACGATTATAATGCACTCAACACGGAGACACATAACACGCTGAGAGAAAGAGTGAGTGAGTGAGTGAATGAGTGTGAGATAGAGAGGGAGAGAGAGAGAGAGAGACGCGTCGCGAGCCACGCGTCCCAACGACAGCCTCGATAAGAGGACCGCGTTAAAATAGACTCTTTTTAGAATTGTGTCCAAGATAATAATGCGCTTAAGTGTATAGAGAAAGAGAAAAAAAAACAGATGAAGTTACACTATATCACACAAAGCCCTGAAAAGAATAAAAGTAAAACATAAGTAATTACCTATTTACAATATTATGCTGCTGCGCGTAGGGGCGCACGCCTCTAGAGAGTAAACGACGAGAGATGGAAAAAAAAATCGAAGGAAAACAGTCATGTAGAAATAACTAGGGATGGGCGGAATGTACTTTTGGGACTTGATTTTTGTTATCTTATTTTTTTTCTTTTCTCTTTTTCTTTTACTTTCAATTAGAAACGAGCCTGCGGCTTTGCGTTTGCGATTGAAATCTTATCTTTGGCTTCTGTTTCTTTATATTTGCTCTTATTCTTCTTTTTCGAATTTCTCCTCTTCTCTTCGTCTCGGTGACAAAACTAATACGGTGGATCGTTCTGAGAATGAAAAAAACATGTACTCGACCGATTGTCCTTCAACGCGGACTGATGAAATCTTCGAAGGCTCGACACGATGACGAAGGGAGATCAATACCGATTTCTTCATGGGATCAGGAACGACGATATCTTGCACGAGAAGACGAAATACGAAGTAGAAAGAAAAGCGTTTTTCGTTTTGGTGAGGAGAGGAGAGAGTCGCTTTGCAGTTTCATTGCTGATACGCCTGACCTGTAAAAGAGATCTAATTCCGTTTTCAATGGGCCACACATGAATCGATTACGTAGGTAGGAAAGATATGAAAAGATTAACAAAAAAAAAATAAAGTAACGGTGACAATTGGTACTAATAAAATATTACCGTATAAGGTACTACATTTGGCAGCGATTCATGTATCAAAAACGAGGCGTATATGTACGTATTATATGCCTATTCCGCCTTCTTGTTATGGTTGTTGGTACATGGAATAATAAGAGGAATAAGAAGTGGACGGGGAGAACCGATAAGAGTAATAATAATATTAATGATAATCACGATAACAACTCGCAAAGACTTCCGGCCAATTTAGTAACAAAACCTTATCTTGCTCCTATGTGAAAAATAATGGTACGACTCTTTCTGTTCCATCCCTAAGAAGGATAGGTTGGAATGAAAAATGATGGCATAAAATAAAATGGGGAAATAACTTAAATATATAGTAAGATAGCGCGGATTACTTGTGGGAGCGTATGCGTGTACAGTGTAAAAGATGCGTTGTGCATATGTACAGTGTAGAGGTATAAACAAGCAACAAAACAGATAAATGGAGAAAAAGAGAGAGAGAGAGAGAGAGAGCGTACGAGGACATAGCAGAGATGAGAAAAAAAAGGAAAACATATATTGCGAATACGGTATAAGTATGAACGTGGGCGTTACGTGGGCGTGGGCGTTGCGCGATCGCTCTTGAATTTTCTTTTTTTTTTTAAGATTTCATTTAAATTGCGTATTGTTTTACAATAATTCTCAAATATCCATTGTTTTACCTTTTTCTTTTATATACTTGACTCCAAGGTGTAATTGTTCCTTGGTCTTTCTTTTTCTTCCTTTTGTTTAGGGCACCAAGAGGATGGAAGTAAAAAAATGTCGCTCGTCGCACGCGCCCATTGCGTCTTACACTATCTTGTAAAATATCTGTGAATATTACTGATTTAGTTTCTTCCTATCCTAGGCTATACTGATATACAAGAGTTTATGTTACTCACAATAAGGAGAATGTACAGATATCACACACAGACCCCTTCACCCTAAACCCATCCAACGTCCCCGACCCATCCCTTTCCTTATTTACCTTTTTGTTTTGTGTTTTACTGTAGTTATTGATAATTATATGGATATTAACGATAATAATAACTATGATTAAAAAAACTTATAACAGTGGTTGTTTTTATTAACGTTTTCGGTATACCTTGAAATGTCTTCTGTAATGGACAAACGGGAGAAATCATGGTAAAAGGATTTTTCAAAGGATGTTTCCTTCCGGTTCCGGCTCTTTCATACATACACATTTTTGTATAGAGAAACTGTGTCTAGTACGGACGAAAAATATAATTATTAGGAAGTATTTCCGTGAGGCAGTTGCTATAGTGAAGCTTAGAACAAAGAAACCCTACTAACCAGACGGTTAAAATAAAAAGTTTCTTTGGTGTCCGGTTCCATAATCACGATGTATTGTTTAAACTCGGTTAACTCCGTTATCAGGCAATCAGACATTTGTATTTCAAGATAAACGGAGTTTAAACAATAAATCGTGTTTGTGAAATCGAGCTTGGAGAGTTTCCTGTTGGTAGTATTTGTGCGCAAGCGCAATGGATCGGTATCAATATCTGGTTAGCTCAATAAATATTGAATTCTATCGCATTTACAGTTTAGCTTCAAATAGAGATGATGTACAACACTATTACGTCATTGGCCTGACAGGAGTTTTCTCAAGTACAACTAAATTATGTATGCGGAATCTAAAGGACGGTAAGAATGATCCACCATTTAATGTTTTTTTTATGGGAAAGGTCAATTGTCTCTCGATGTCTTTTTTGCTATACAACTGTAAAAACCTTTGTCTTGATTCTACAATGATTCCAGTCCATTCGAGAAGGTTCAAAATGTAATAAAACGAATTTCGCCTTGCCATATGTCCATAGCGAGTTTGCGTTTGCGAGTTTCATTCAGTGGCTCCTCCACCAATTGGCGTTCAGGAGAACTAACCGATCCGTCGCGAGCAGCGCTACGTCGCTCATTTATAAACCAGTCTCAAGCATGTTTATTGCCAGCAATGTGAATCGGACTGTAGTAGCGAATGAAAATGGCTAATTGTCAGGCTTATTGGTGCAGCAGGTGAGCTATTGATTGTTGTCAAATAATAAGTGGTCGGTGCAGCTAGGTATGACAGTAACAGGACGTCCTGACGATGTGAGTTGCGCGCTAGTGAGAAAAAAGTGCTGGTTACGTGCCGCCGAAGAAGGTAAAGAGGCTCCTTGGCAAGTACCATAGGAATCATCATCATTTGGGGCTGGTTGGTCCATTTTTATTCGCTGTTATGGGATAGTTTACTATGAAGATTATACGATGGACGTCGCGACGCTTTGAGACGATCGTAATACTCAGTCTGATACTATTTGAAGAATTATCCTGATCGGCAAGTGACAAATAGACGGTCTACATCAGACACATCATCAAAACGTAGATTGGCTCGCTATGACCATTCGAAAAACATACGCCCTTCCACTATACTTTGCATTTATGGTTTTTGTGGAAAATCATGGATTTTCATGGATTTCATGTCCCTCTTGTCTGACCTCGTTAGATACTTATTATAGCACACCTATAGTCGACCATTACTGTGAATAGACAGTAGACCTTCATGCTTCGTTATGCTTTACAGTGATCGGATGGACAGACTGATACTCAAAAGCTGGGGTTGATACTGGATGATGATTATTGATTATATTGGTAATTAATTAATGGTGGTGCAGTAACAACTTTTCTGTTATAGGCTGAATCAAGAGAATACCTCTTTGGGGAAAATTTTGTGCTAAGATTATTGGAGCTCGATATTATGGCTTCTGGTGCGTCTTCCTTGGACAGTGCTGGAAGTAGTGGTGAGTAATTTTTAAATGTATAGCAACAATTCAATATTCAATTTCGATTCTTTACTATTTTGTTTTTTGTTTAATTTAATTTATGCCCAATATAGTTGTACTTTCATTCTTAACCAATGTATACAACTGTGTCAAAAGTTTTTTAGCATTGTTAAATTGATCAATTTCGTAATTGCGGGTAAACAAACCATGAACAACAAAGCTTACATGCGTGACGCGCGATTTCTTTCCTGGTGAAAGCTAGCAAAGAAACCGAATGCATTGCTCCAGCTAGTTTAACGAACCATTGCCTGAAATGTATGGTTATTAAGAAACTTCATTAAATTCACCAACCATTCTCAAATGAATTAAAATAAGCCGTGCTCACTCTAAATAATTTCATTTTAGATGGGGCACTCAATATGGGTGAGTAATTAATTTATGCCAATCAATTTATTATATTGCTTGCCATATACGGATCTACGTTTTGCAAGAATTTTAATTCATTTCATGCACAATGAGAATGAAGGAATGGTTTGATGTTACTGAACTATTTTTTTCTCCAATTTTTCTTTTTTTTTTGGTTTCACTATGTATTAGAAATATCAATCCTCAAGTTTTCCATAAGAATATACCATGAATCTTAGACTCCTAGAGAAAATCATAAAATATCATTTGTCTTCGCTCTACCCTATATAATTACTGGAGTGCAGTTGCTTGGATTTCATATTTTTATTGCATTTCTCTCACTGTTTTGCGATGTGTGCCGTTGGGATTGCCTTTTCATTGCGGTGCTCAGAACGAGATAGTGGAGGCTATGGCAGTGTTGGAAGTCCTGTTGGGGGTCCTGAGTGCCGTAGCGACTACGAAGGTTTGCAGGCACAATGCGACCAGGCGATGCATCAACTGCAGCTACTTAGACATAAGCACTCCGACACAATTCGACGGTTTGTGTAGTTTTCCTTTTTGTTTTGCTTTATCACGGTCCAGAGGACATGCTCTTTTGTCATATAATACTACCTGCACTAGACTGTCTTGCATAGGACAAATGTACATGCATGATTTACCAAAAGTTTCAGCAAGCATTCACCCTCTATTATTAATTTAATATTTGATTGTTCGTTTTACGGATTCCCAGGTGTGAGCATACTATGAAGGAGTTGGAGTACTATCGGGGACAACACATAGCAGTCATGAATCAGCTGGAGGCAACCTCCCAAGAAAGTGCCGCATTGCGCGGGAAGTACTCAGACCTGGCAAACGACAAGCAGAGGCTCGACCGCGAGGTGCAGGCCCTGCAGAAGGAGGTAACTGAGTTAAGGTGTCAGAATCAAGAGGTTCTTGTGTCCGATGCTAGTAATGCAGATGCAATGAACCAGCATTACCTTTCTGCATTGAGGAAGTACGAAGCCATTAAGGACGAGTACGATTCTCTAAGGAAACGATACGACGATCTTATATCATCGCATTCCTCAGCGGTGAACAAGGTAGGCTCTATGAGTGTTGAATGGTGATAGTGTTTTTATTGGGATTCTTGTTTGAATTTAGTTGGAATTAGCACAAGAGGAAGCTGCTAGATTAAAGAAACAGTGCGATGAAGTGGCCCAGGAACGTAATAGCGCTGTTCGCGAAAGGAATGGATTGAAGCAGCAATGTACAGCTGCCATCAGACAATGGGATATAGCACTGCGTGAACGTAATGAGTATCGTGAAGCACTTGCCAAGGTACAACAACAGCATGAGGAAGCTGTCAAGGAGATAAACCAGGCAATGGTGTTGCGTATGAAGGCTAGCAAAGACATGAAACGACTGACTGAGGAGAGGAACGCCGCTCTGCAGGAGTACAGTTTAATTATGGGCGAGAGGGACACGGTGCATAAGGAAATGGAAAAACTAGGAGACGACCTGACCCAAGCTTACGCTAAAATCACGCATCTGGAAAATCAGAATAAACAGTTTGTCGAGGAGGTTAGTATCCCTGTATATTTCTATCTTATATTCCACGTTCCTCTAATGCGCTGAAACTGTGTATCATTGTTACAGAAAAAGACTCTCTCATATCAGATAGAAACTTTGAGACGTGAAATCTCGTCAGCGCTGCATGATCGTGATGAGGCTCTCAAGGAGTGCAACGACTTGCGTCAGAAGTTCGGCGACTATTCCGAAGGTTCCAGCAGGGATTACAAGAATCGCCTGGAGTTACACTCGTATAACAGAGAACGTGACAATTCCAGCAAAGAGGCAGAGCGCGAAACGAATACGAGGGACTATGCGAAGCGAGAAAAGGAGCGAATGGACAATCTCGACCAGGCTAATCTGGAGCTAGACAAATTGCGTAAATCCGTGGACACGCTACAAGCGGAACTCGAGGAGGCTATTCAGGAAGCTGAGGTATCTAAGCGTAGGAGAGACTGGGCCTTCAGCGAACGCGACAAGATTGTTTTAGAGCGCGAGAGTATCCGCACCCTTTGCGATCGTTTGCGGAAGGAACGTGATCGTGCCGTATCCGATCTTGCTGGCGCCTTAAGGGACTCTGATGATATAAAGAAGCAACGAAACGAAGCATCGAAGGAGCTCAAAGATCTCAAGGAAAAGATCGAGTCTGGTGATCATGCCCTGAGGTCAAGTCAATACGGCCAGGGTTTGTCGCACAGTCATGATTCTGCTATTGATACAGAGGTTACTGAATGGGATGTAATCACAATACACCTGGATCTTACTAGATTATGTTTGGATACGGATCGGGATCTTGGTTTCGTTCTAGTCGGTGGTAGGGACGATCCTCAGTATCCTAACGATACTGGAGTCTACGTTGCTCAGGTGACACAAGGCAGTGTTGTTGACGGCAAGCTCAGGGTTAATGACTGTATTATAAGGGTGAATAATGTTGACTGTACTTCTGTGTCTACGAGGATGCTCTTGGAGACGCTGCGAGCTAGTACTATCAGTCCTGCCACTTTGACTGTCAGAAGAAGACGTTTGAGCAGAAGATCTTTGAGGACTACTCAGATTCCAGTGAGCTCCGTTCCCCATGGCATCGCACTGGAGCTTGGAATTTATATATCCAAGATTTCACCAGGAAGTTTAGCCGCCAAGGAAGGAAATCTTGCCGTAGGAGATAGGGTTTTAAACGTGAGTGCTTTTGAATATATTTTTTATCGCCTGAACACAATTTAGTCCTAAGCTGCTTGCTTATGATCGGCTTGAAGCGCCGTACACAGAAAAATGTTTTCTTTAGATCAACAGCAAACCGATGGACGGTATTAATTCTGCTCACGAAGCCATGACGATTCTAAATGACAACTCTACGGATGTTTTGACAATTACCACCCTGAAGGGAATACCTTTGCCGTCGGCGAACACTGAAGCCATCTCCATGGACAGTAACTTTAATCCAGAGAAACAGAAGATGGTGAACAGTTGCTCGCAGACGGAACAGGAACGGATGATGCTGAAGACGACACAATCAGATGACTACGACCGGCGATACATCACATCGAACTTCGGTGATCGGAGCGTCTATAAGGTGTCTAAATCGACGAGCGGGGAGAAGCCTAGCGGTATCAGCAACGCCTGGGACAACATACGTGAGAAGATCGATATAGTGCGAGGACGTAGGCACAGCAAGGATAGGGAAGACAAGAAAAAAAGACACCGGAATTCTAGTCCCAATACATTTGAGCAAGAGCAGGACGCTATTGCTGAACTGGATTCTGTAATAGAGAGTTATCACAAGAAGACAAATAATGGCGTACTGAAACGTAGCAAACGACGGGGTGAGAAGGTGGAGAAGAATGGCGGCACCTGGCCGAAGGCAAGAGGGGGTCCATTGATACAAAATGGCACGGGTACAATTTTGCATCCCCGAAAAACAAAGGAACGTCTTCCTTTGAGTGTACTTCTTAATCATCCTCCAAAGTATGACAGCTTCAATTATAATCGTATTTCAAATCCCATACCGCTGTCAAACTTTGCAAATGTCAGCAACAGACACACAGTCTATAAGGCTGTAGAAATTCCTATACCGAATATCAGCAAGTCAGGCCAGTTATTTAATCAGAAGTCATTCACACCAGCAGTTCAATTTAAGGATATTCAAATAGATAAGAAGCCAATGATAGAATTTGATACCAGCGAGAATCGTCTCGGCTCGACACTGGCGCCGTCTGAGACAAGCATAGATTTCTCAGTGAAGTCAGGGAACATTGGGAAGGATCTGGATTACTACACGAAGAAGCGCACCCAGAAGTATCCCGGGAACGACAGCCAGGTAGATACATTGCAGCACAACAGGGCCCACTCACAACTCTACGCTATTGGCTCGACACCAGCTGCTGGACCACGTCAGCTAGCCGGTAATTTCTCATTTCCCCCCTATACTCACTCTCATCCCCATCCGCATCAACAGAACTCCCTACCCTCAAGGTATCCGTCTCCACCCTCTCTACCCTCTGCCCAATCTGGTGAATCTATCGGTCTGCCTGATGCACGGTCCTATTCATTTGAACCCCCGTATAGTCCTGCACCCCAAACAGGGTTCAGTCACCTCCATACACCCTCTGTAGACTTGCACTATCACAAGTCCAGAGCACACCCCATTGCTACTGCATATGATGTACCTGCCTACACTCACGGCTACGAAGGTGGCACGTTTCCGAGGAAAAAGGAGAACCAGCGATTTCGTATACCGTCCAACCCAAGTGTGACCTCGAAGAGCAGCGTGGGGAAACTGTCGACGGGAAGTATAGAAAGGACATCCGAGAGAGGCAGTCCAATGCCGACCTTTCATGTGGAAGTACTGAGTCCAGGAACGGGAACAGTTAAAGGAAATAACAAGAGATCCAGCATGCCGGATTATTGCTACTCCCAGCCGAGGCCAGCACCTGGTGAACTCAGGAGAGTTCACATAGACAAGTCTGTTGAGCCACTCGGTATACAGATTTCCTGTCTCGAGAGTGGTGGCGTCTTCGTCTCCACTGTCAGTGAACACAGTTTGGCCTCCCAGGTTGGTCTCCAGATTGGCGATCAACTACTCGAGGTCTGCGGCATCAACATGAGAAGCGCCACCTACCAGCTTGCGGCTAACGTTCTGCGCCAGTGTGGTAATTCTATTACGATGCTGGTGCAATACAGTCCGGACAGTGAGTATCGTGTAGGGAATGAATAAGGTTCTCCTTCGTTGGATTTATATTAACATTTATCACGCGAATCCATTATTCTCTCTATGTCCAAGCACTAGAGTCTCCTGATGCTGTTTGTAATCCTCTTACTCTAGAGATTGATTACCATAATTAAAGTATTCGACATTCTTTTCATGCAAAGAATATAATGAACTGGAGGGTTCGGGTTCCTCAAGCTCGTCCGAGGCTGGCGGAGAGGAAGCAGCGAGTCGTAGTGGCTCACCAACACCGTGCAATAGTCCAGAAGCGCCGAGGAAGACGACGCAACCTTTGGAGACTACTGAACCGGAACGGGACACTTCAGCCACGCTGAGTGTGATAAGATCGGACCGAGAAGTCAGGACGTCGGCATCCCTGGACATCAGGAATACTCAGGAACGCGAGAGAGACATTCGGAATTCCGCCTCCTTGGATATTAATATCCGTAATCCCGAACTGCGGAAATCAGCTGCCCTGGATATTAGAAATAGTGCCGCTCTGGATAATATCAGGAACTCAGCCACCCTGGATACTTTACGCGTTGGAAATAGTACTCTACCCCGTGCTCAGATGAACCAGGCTGCCATGACAACGTTGCAGCGACAAAATGCGACAGTCAGAAGTCCCACTCAGGAGGAGCAACAGCAAAACGGGAAGAGTCCACCTCCTAGTGAACCCAGGTACCTCTTTATAGAGACCAGAAAGTGCGCTAACCTGGGTATCTCCCTGGTCGGTGGAAACAGCGTTGGGATATTCGTACATTCAGTTCAACCAGGATGCCTCGCCGAAGATGCGGGTCTACGTACAGGAGATCGTATCCTGGAGTACAACGGAGTGGATCTACGTCAAGCGACGGCTGAACAAGCTGCTCTGGAACTAGCTAGACCAGCGGACAAGGTCACGCTGATAGCACAGCACATGCCTGAACGGTATAAGGAAGTCAGGGACAAGCCTGGTGACAGTTTCTACGTGAAAGCTATGTTTGACCGTGTTGGCGAAGTCAGTGACAGTCTTCAGCTTAGATTTAACAAGGATGACGTCCTTTACGTGGACAGCACGATGTTCAGTGGTACGCCAGGACATTGGAGAGCCTGGATCGTGGACCAAGCTGGACGACGACAAAAGTGCGGAGTCATCCCTAGTAAATTCAAGTAAGTTTTTTTATTCTTAAAAGCACATCTAATTCTATAAAAATAATGCCCTATCGATATACATCTTTATTTATACAGAGTCGAAGAGGAGCTCCTTCTGCGAAGATCTCTTGGCGATTTAGAGACGGATACTGGAAGACGGGGAACTACTAGTGCCCGGCGAAGCTTCTTCCGCCGTAAGAAGCATCAACGTTCCTCCAGTAGAGACAGCAAGGAGCTCTCACAACTGACAGGTGTCAATTTGGGTTGGTACAGTGACAGTGGAACTCTCAACGAAGAAAATCTTCCTGCAAGTTACCAACGTGTGGAGAGGCTTGACTGTAAGAATTAAAAGTTCCCCATAAAAAGTATTCCTTTACAATCCCCTTTACATTACATTTTTCATTTATATTCGTCACCAGATCCAGCATTGAGACCAGTGCTGATAATCGGCCCACTCAGCGAATGCGTAGTGACTAAACTCCTACAGGAATTTCCTGAAGAGTTCGTTAGGTGTTTACCGGAAGCAATGCACTGTTCTCAAGCAACGTTAGAGCAAGGTCTACGAGACTCCCTCTATGTAGACTACCGAAAGAAAGGCAGCTACTTCGAGTGTACAACAGTACAGGCAGTAAAAGATATCTGTGAAAAGGTAAAAAAGAAAACATAATAAACAGTAAACTAATAATACGTTTCTGTAATCTAATATTCCTTTAATTTCTCAGACTTCTCACTGTATCTTGGACATATCAATCGCCTCCATTGAACGACTTCACAGACATCGCATCTATCCTATCGTCCTGCTGATAAAATTCAAAAGTACAAAGCAGATAAAGGAAGTGAAGGATTCAAGATATCCCAGCGATAAAGTCAGTGCAAAGGTAGCCAAGGAGATGTACGAACAGGCGCTGAAGCTTGAAGCGGAATACAGACAGTACATTTCCGGTAAGTCATACCATCCTAATAAAATTGTATCTTAAGAAACGGCAGTCAGGAATGGTTATCCGGTTTCCCCAAAGAGGACGACCGGTTAAATTACATTTTGGGCCCTGTTCGATTACAGCCGTTATCCCAGCTGGAGTGAACGTGGCGTATATATGCACGCAAGTTAAAGGTGCCGTAGACGACGAGCAAAGTAAAGCGTTATGGGTGCCTTGCGGGCCACCCTGACAGCACCGGGGGGGCCCCCATAAGCCACAATGGAAATCCATCTAAATTCCATAAGGGGGCCCTTACGCTTTATTGCGAATACAACAAAGAGAGATACAATTTACCTAGAGTTCATTGTTATCGCCTCTGGTATCCCTAGAAGAAGGGATATAACACGAGCGACAGTGTGGATAAGGATTCTTTAACGAATCCATGTCTCATCGACTAGGAAAAAGCTCCTTACACTTACATACACCTTTTATTTTCACCTTTCGTACTCTTATTCTTCGTCTTCCTTACTAATTATTATGAATATTTACTTTTCGAGCTCACTCGGGTTGTGATGATTATTCGCCCAGGGTTTCGCCGTTCGATTGTCTCGTGACGCGTTCGCCTACCCTGACACTCGTATTCGTGCATATTACAAGTATCCATTACTTGGTACATGCATTATATATATTTATACACACACAACTCGTTAAAGTATTGTCACAGGCGTGACGAGAACGCCTTCATTTCACTGAGGCTCCAAAGTTCCAAGAGAGAAAAGCAATAACGACAGTACAGGGTTCTTACAAGGATCTTACATCAGATTGATCGTAAATAGGAGTATATAAGGTAAAATAGAATCAGATCTATTTTTGAGCTTGCAGGACGATAAGGAAAGTAAAGGGAAAGAAAAATAGAGAAGCATTATTCATTAAGACAGCAGTTGTCGCCCACTAGATAAGTTCGACTAAAGTTAACTCGCTAGACCAAGGAATTGAATAATAATTAAAAGAATCGAAAGAAGGAGCAGATAAAAAATAGTAAATGGGAATTGAAGTTTGAAAGAAAAGGAAACAAAAAAAATTGGTTCCTCCTTTCGTCTACTGACCATGCGTCAGAGTGTACCTACACTGGAGGAAATGACTGCGCAATTGATTATTAATATCGAACAATGACGTAATTCATTCGAGTTGTAGATGGCAGTACGGTAGAAGCGAATGAAGCATTACGAGAGGCCCTTTTAGCCTTATAGTCGTATGTCAATATCGCAATGACGCCGCAATCGTCATGGTGTTCTTTTTTATCAAATTTATAAACGTGAGGAGAGATTGCGAAATGGAATTTTTTAAATCGCGTATTCAGTCGGGTGCCTTCCCTTTATAGCAGGTTGCATAATTGAACCTACGTACGCTGAGTTACGTGCGTGTTTGTATAGAAAAACCTATTTGGAGGAAAAAAAACGAAAAGAAAACAAGATAACAAAATTGATGTTCAAAAAAAAAAAGAAGAAACTTAATTAATACACGTAACCAATAGTGTGCGAAAAGAAGCGTTTACAGTGAGAACAAAAAAGGATGATAAATGTTAAAATTTATTACTAATCACGTATGCCGACTCGAGATCTAGATGGCTAAGCGACAAGCTTTAATTAATTATCTATTTAATTTTCCTTATCTTTGTCTTTTTTTAATTAACAGACCCCCCCCATCGCTCCCTCCCTGTTTTTCTCTCTTGTTTTTTCCTCGGAGCTATTCCCATACAGTTTCGCGATGCTTGATCGCCGTCTCATAGGGGATGATTACGAGGATACAGAAAAAGTCGCGTGACCTTATCTATCCCTATCTCTCTGTGTCCTTTATCGTTATTATAATTCTTTCTCTCTCGTTCTCCTTTTCCTCAAATCCCCCTCTACCGCCCATCCTTCCACCCCTTTCCCCTGACATTCTCACGTAAAATTTAGTTTTCTAACGAGACAATATTTAGGCGTTAAGTAATCACCGAGACCAAAAATTAAAGGGATATAATAATTCATAAGGGTACGATTAAAGCTAACGTCTCATTGGCAGAGTGAGAGCGAGAGTTTAAAATGAATAAAGTGGAGACTAGTAGAGAGAAAGAAGAAAAAGAAAAAGGAAAAATAGAAGGATAAAATGAAACGTGATATTTTGGCGGGAACGCGGCTCCCGCTTAGCCAAATAATAACACAATCGAATATGTAGTACTCCTTTTAAAACTAGATATGAGATATCAGTGACGATATAATTTTTTTTTTCTTTTTTTCTTTATCTCTCCCGTGTTACGCAATAGCCTCGCTCGTTTAACGTGCGACTTTTCTTTGTAATAACAAATCGCAATAGTAATTCGTTAACACGTGCGAGATCGCTGCCCGTAATCTTTTTCCTCTTTTTTTTTTGTTCGTTTGTTTGTTTTAATTCCATTTCGTGTATACGCGCAATAGTTGGCCGAAGGAATGACGTTTCCTCGCGTTCGACACACTCTGGACGATCGCGAGATAGAAAGGCTAAGAGAGAGAGTTAGGAAAAAGATATATTATATACGAAAGAGGAAGGAAATCGAATCCATGAGGATTAATAGAAAAATCGTGATTTAATCTATTAAAATCATGGCACACCTGTGATACGAATACTGCTTCGTCGGACATATCATCTCTTAAAACAATCATATTATTGTATACTCGAAACTTTTCTAATGCCTGTAAAACACACGCGCGATGCGCGGGCGTGCGTGTACTGTAATATTACTATAGTAAAAAAGGTACATTAACTGTGCGCATAGCAGAGCATAGTAACGGATAATAAGTATTCATGTATTTTTGATTAATGATTATTAATCGTCTTTATCAATGCACCTTATATCGTTGTCGCAATCTATCGTCAAGAATCTACGACACTGAACTCTGACAGCTCTGTATCTTTATGTACGACCCTTTAACCATCCCCGTTAAGACTTTTCTTATGCAAGATATCAAGAAGATCAGACCAGCTACGCGATGGATCCTTAATCCTTTAAGCACATTCTTACTGTCGATTACAAGAGGTACATGCATAAGTATGATTAATGTTTATTGAAAAGAAATATATATATATACGAAAAGCATCGCTGGTGATAACGTTTAGCTAAATCATGGGATAGTTGAGATTTCTCCACTTACACAGTGATTCAGTATCTAAATGCATTAAAGTGCGTAAAGAATAAGAATCGTGACTAAAGCTCATTAATTATATATTTCTCTATTTTCTATGACGTATTCAATATTTATATGTGTTTTGTAATTCTCATTGTATAAATATGTCACTACGATTATAATCACCATCCATGTCACCGGTTACATTGACCCTCGCTATGTAACTCCTCCCCCTAAACTTTTGACAGTATTTGTAATTCACTTGTCGGTTAATTAGCGTCTAATTGTCAATGATCATTAAGAATTTCACGTTGTCGGTACAGCTCTAGTTAAACGACTCGTAATGTTTAGTCATGACAGTTACTCCGTTTAACAGTGTTCCATGTGTTCGTGTTTATAATTTTTTTTCAAGTGCTGCAGATATTTTTTTTCTTAAATTTACTTTCGCACGGTGATAGAGGGTGGCTCCATCTAGAGGAAATATGATCAAGATGATATTGACAGGGTTGGTAGAAAGTTAGAACGGAGTAGAAAATTGATCGATATATGCATATCATCACTTTTGTTAGGCTACGTAGTTAAAAGTGTCTTTGAATATACGGGAGTGATGAATTAAGGGGAAAGATATATGTGCAGGATTCATTCGACTTGGATGTGTTTTTTTTTTTTTAAATCTGATAACTATTTTTCTCTTGGTTATTTGTCCTTGGTCGTTGTACCTTGCCATTTGGTTATTATTTTTGGAAATTAATTAATCGGGAGTTAGTATTGCTGGGTCGATTGAGATGAGATGAAAAGTTGAGGTTTTTCGAATTTTCTATACCTGCCATGAGTGCGAGAGAGATGGTGCTATCGGGATTTATGCGTGTAAAATAAGGACGAACATACTGGCAGGCCGAAATCGGTGGTTAGTCTCTTCAGTAATCATTACTTTTACACGCGAATGTATATGATCGAGAATCATAGGTTGTCGACGTGAAAAACAAAGGTTGTCTCGCAGTAACCATGTATTGTCATATAAAAGCATAGCCGAGTTGAACAATCCTGTACATATACGGAAGAACAAACAAGCACGAGTAGTATGTAACGTGGAATTGGGATGCACTTTCACGTAGGGAAAATTAAAGGAAACTGAATATGCATACGTTTGGGAAATTTAAATTTGTATACTATCAGGTTGGTCAGAAAAAACGTCGAAGGGAAGTCCATTTAGGGGGTGACTTCCTTTTAATTGCGGAACTGCGGTATTGAGTAGGTAGCTCACGCAGCCCAAGACTCCGGTTGAACTTTTGAACCGGATTATCCTGTGATTAAATTGCAACGTGTTCACGCAGTGCGATTGGATTGCGATTCTTTGTTATCGAGATAGACTATTTTTTTATATAAAATTATGCGAAAAGCGTGTCCGCCTTTTGCGCGTCTCCTTCGAGAGACGATTGATAAATTCGCCATTTGTCCCTTGTCTCTCTCACTCGTCGTATCTGCGTTTAGAAATGAAAGAGAGAAACTCGATCGAGAATGACGGGGTAACGTGAAGGAGTAAAAGCGATCGTAGTGCGAATTTGAATCGTGAAAATTGAATGGGAAACAGAGAGAGAGAGAGAGAGAGAGAGAGAGAGAGAGAAATGAATAATTAAGGGGGTTTGGGGGGTAAATCTATGTATGACGAGGGGTGAGTATGATAAGTATGAGAAGTACGAGTGAGTATGAGGGGAGATAATGTATATGTAGATTTGAAAAATTTTTCTTCGTTTTCTATTACGATACGATGGTAGCTTGTATTGACTAATATACTTTATTACTATTTGAATGATTAACTATACAATATACAATTGCTCTACGAGACTACTATACCGTGAGGGAATTTGAAATGAATTTTTTGAAGGTTTTTTTCCTGCAATGGTTTTGATACCAAATGTTTTAGCACATATTTATAAATATTTCTATTTATACACAGCTTCGCCAGTGCCACGTGGGCGTACATGCATTACAGAAACGAGACACTGTAGCAATAACAATGCATATCCGTTCACAGGTACAAGGCATCTACATGTATTATAGTACGGTATAATATTATGACATTTGTAATATTATATAATATATATGTGACACATTGATTGATATACGGTATACATTACTATAGGTATTATTGTTGACGATGATATACAATTATTTTGAGCTATTACTCAGTTTCAAGAATGGATGCCCAAGAAAAGTATTAACGTTTAACGTTTCGTTATTGTTTATAACTATTTCTTTGTATAAAAAAAAAAAAAGAAGCGAAAGAAGAAGAAACTTACGAAAAAGAGGATGATAATTAAAAAAAAGGATTATCACGACGGTTCGCGCGCTTATCCACGCGTCGAGCAGTGAATTCTTTGCATACCGGGTGGTCATTTAATATTTCTTAACGTAAGCGACACCTATTTGTTATTATTGTAACGCATGTTAATGAGTCATTGTGAATTTAAAACAAGAGTGCGCGCCATGCGAACCGTCGTGCGTAATATTCTTTGTGACTATAGGCAGCTTTAGTTGTTAACTTTTAGTATCGTTATTATTAATAATACGTTTATCTTAATAATTAAGTTTTCGAAGGGCGAGAAGGTAGGGAGGCACGGTACGTCATTACGCGCGTGTATCCGCCTCCACAGTAGAGTATTAAGCATCGTCATTTATTAAAGCGATTAAATTAAATAAAACGAGTAACGAAATAACGAGAAATGGCCTTAAAAGCATTTCGATCACGAGCCTTAATTATCCAATAACGAAAAAAATTTTCAACTGACACTTTGATTAACGCCTCGTCCCATATCCTTGTCCTGTCGCGGGAGTTCTTGGAGTCTTTAGGTATGTCCGGTCCTAGCATACGTAGTCTGGAATAGTACCAGGACTTCCAGGAGAGCACGAAGCTGGTCAAACGTCGTGACGTTTTTCGTCGGACGACATACGCGTGCTCGTTCTCAGTCTTTGACGCTGCATACGTGGCGATCGGGACGTGACACGAAATTCTACTGGTAAATCGTAACAGCGACAGACGCAGCAACTTGGAAACTTGAACCAATCGCTGAATATACCGCGACACTCGTTGTTCGGATCGTATGCCAGAAGTCTGTGGAGCCTGTATTGCTGCTCGCATCTGCATCCTTCCCTGCAGTACATCTGCTTATTTTCATGGCTGCGAAGTAAGTACGAGTAAAATGATTTCAATAAGAAATTTATAGAAGTTCCACAGCGAACATTTCGTCAAACGTTTATTATACTCACGTGCATTTTTCCCAGTGGACGTATTGCTCGAATGGATAGAGATTCAGCAATGCTAATACCTCGCCACGTGTGTTGTTGGCCCAGAATGGCGCAACCACTTCCTCTTTCACGGGACACGCATTTCTGTGAGGATTCAGTAACTATTATTTTATTATTATTACTACTAGTGCGGTATAACGGCGTACTATGAATTGTTTATCATGTAAATCACTTACACTCCCCGTAGCTTCAATACTGGCTCTGCTTGATCTTTTGCTGCTACGTCCTGATAGAGTTGACCCTCCATACTGTTTGCTTCTGGTTTTGATTCCGTAGGCCTATACTCTGGTCGAGGTCTGAATTGTTGCTGCTCGCTGGCTGCAAATACTTGGTCAGACACTGGTTCCTTAGCACTGTTCCTACCTGGGTCATTGTCATTTTCGACAACCTCGTCTATGCGGTCTGTGATTATTGTAGTAGCTGGTGCTACAGTCACTCCGGATTCTACTGTGGTGTCCTCGTCCACAGTGGAGTCTTCCAGGATAGGCAGTTCGGTCAAGTTCTCCACGTTGATATCCACCCTGTCCAATTGACCAGGTATTTCATTTATACTCAAATTTTGTATATTTGCTATTTGCGATAGTGTGACAGTTGGTGTGGTAGTCACGTTATCAGTAGCATTTTTTTTCTTATCCTCAGGGGACAAATTTTTAACTGTCTCGATGAGAGTCAATTTCGTGGTGATCTTCTCTGGGCTGGTATCAGTAGTTTTTCCAGTTGTCCCACTGGTGCTGCTGGTAGTAGTGGTTGTGGTTGGATTTCCAGTTGGTCGAAAGTGCGGTCTAGTGTATTCACCCAATTTTGGAAATTTACTAAACCTCCTTGAGCCGACATCTTCGAAAGCTCTACTAGTAAAACCACGTCCTTCGGCTTCCTCGTTGTTCTCAAATAACTCCCGTTCCTCATCCTCGAATTCATACTCATCCTCGTATTGGAACTGCCTGCAGTTGTAACGTAGACGTATATGACTATATATCTTGGTAACAAATGGCTATCGCCAACCTAAGGTCAGTAAGGTGAACCTCACCTGGAATCCTCAGAGAAACGATGGTACCGGTCATCGAACTCAATCTCGATATCGTTCTTCTCCAATTCCGTCCTAAGGATGTTTATGTGTCTCTCATCTCCGTACATACGTCTCATCAGACCCTGGTTCTCCTGAACAAATCTGCGCACCGCATGCCTGCAATTGGAAAATCATCAGACAATTCAGTAGATGCTCAGAGAGGGAAACGTGCTCACGCGTATTCAATAAGATGTGAGTATATATAAATTTATGAAAAATTGTAAATTATTATTGTGACATTAATAAAAAAATTATTTTGTACCAGGGATAGGCGCTACCAGCAACGGTGCACCAGTTTTGCTGACGGAAGTCACATGGTAAACTTTGAAAACGTGCCCTGGCTGCCCTGGAGTAAGGTTTGCTACAAGCAGATGACGCATCGTATCCAAAACTGCTGGGACCACCGCCTCCTTGTGATCTTACTAGTCGGAGTGCGATCGCCTACAACAAGTGACACTATACTTTAAGATCATTCCATTCGAGATGAACTCACTGTTGGATAAACTGTGAGGATAGTACGAATTTATGCGTTCGTAGACTCCAGGATACCGTTACCGTTTCGCTTGAACTTGATGCTCTCACTGAACGAGTTGAACTCACCGCAAATAATCATGAACAATTTCGACACGCTGTGTATCCTGTACCATGCTATAGTACAATCATTTGAGTATAGTTCATGTAAGTTCATGAAGACACTCGTTACATCACTGATACACAATACACAATCTCATTTTTTTTTTAAGTTAAACTATAATTTTCAGAGTTCCAGATCACCCTCATCTAAATCAGAGAATTTTTATTATATTCTCTCTCTATCTGTCTACTCACCAGGAAAATCGTTAGGACTAGAGGTTTCATTATTCCTGATTATCTTGCACCAGGTAGATAAAGGATCCAAGATCTGTACACCAAGTCTCAATACTATCTCGTCACTTGTAGTGATTGTGATCGAGGGGGTTGCTTGCTGGGTCCACGAGGCAGGTCTACATGACAGCACCTTCGCGAGCAAGGGGGCTTTCATTACTGCCTATAATCGGCCGGGTAGCCATCGAAGGAAGTTCAAGGAAAAAGTGTACCCCGATCGAGTCGGTGAAATAGTGGATACACTTAGGCCAGTGGGGAGGAGAGACTCTGTGTAAGAGTGGCAGAGGGAGAGAGCGAGAGAGCTTCGACCGAGAGTAGGTCACTCTCAGGATACCGTTAGTACGCTGCCATTGATGTGTGTCACGGGGCCCCCTGACGTTCGCGTATTTACAAAAAGGTTTTTCTAACTTATTTCTATTATTCCATTGTCGCACATTCTGACGGCTGTTCAGACGATCTGGTACCTTTCACATGAAATACTTTTTAGACGATGTAATATATGTGTGTATTCTTGGATATTATGATAAATAGAATAATAAATAAGGGTAACAATTACATAAAGTAGAAGAAACAATTGTGCTCGCCGTATTCGATTACGTCAGGTGTACTTTTACGAATAGTAATTTATCATGTCATTATAATATAATAAGAGATTATTCAGTTAATCTCTAGTGTACGTGGAGAAGAAAAGTTACGTCAATAACATCCGTGATTATTAAATGTTTCTTTAGAATAGAAATTCACGTAAAATCATCTAATACTTTGCAATCCAAATTTGTCTGAATGATTTGTTGCGAAATCGAAATGAATGGTCTCTCTCTTTTAGTAACGTCATTGACATTTGCATTCTGCTTCGAAAGTTGGCCTGAAAATGGTAGTACAGTGTTTATAATATACAGGGTGGGAGGTTACCAAGTATCGAGTAAACGTCAGTGGATCCCCACCCTGGTCAAAGTAATCAACACGGTCAGAAGGAAGCATTTGTAAATGCTCTTCCCGTGGCTTTCTTCGTAGTCTCCTCCACTATCCGGGCCACGCACACCAAACTCTTCACGGACGCCAAAGAGGAACACTTTCACCTCGTAGGTGAATATAAGTTTACTTGAATAATAATCAACCTGGCCACACGGAAACTTATCGTCATCGTATAATATAATGCTGTTCCTCGACTACGAAAATAAAACTTTCTTAGATGGGTCCGACCGTGAACTTGGACCCGTTTCGAATCCCAGAGAGAAAGAAAGACGTTCTCATCCTTCTCATGGGATGTAGACGTTTTACCTACCAATAAGAATTACTGGTTGGTTGCTTCTTAACCTACTTACCTACTCGCTAACATAACGAGTGTCTAGGGATCTGTATATACACATATGCTATACGCATTCACGCATTTAACGTCGATTGTGATTCTACGTAGCTTCTTTGTCGAGCACTAAGTACCTACTCGCATCCTTAGTATGTTATGAAGGACGTGTTTTCAAATGACGCGCCAGAACAACAGAAGATCTAACCCTTCACTCTCCATGATATAACCTCTCCAGGGAGTGAATTTATGACTTTTTAGTGAAATTTTTTGGGGTCGCAGATAATTACATTGCTGAGGAACTTTTGGGATGTAGTGGATAGATATTGGTGAGTAATACTAATGATAATGTAATATTTACTTATTAATTAATGATTTTTTTGTTTTTAGCCAGAAACAGGAACTGCTCTGTTCCAGGATTACACTCTTGGAGTGGATTTTAACATGTCCAGAAACGATAAAAAGCTAAATGATGTTGTTTTGAGTTATTACGACTGTCTCCTACGTCGTGCTGATGTTAATTTACTGAAAGGTCCTTGTTGGCTTAACGATGCTCTTGTGGGATTCTACTTTGAATATCTGAATAGAAAGTTTCAGGATGCTGATACAAATAAAAGTCTGTTTATTAGTCCTGAGATGACACAGTTATTGAAATTATCTGACATCTCAGAATATGATATTTTTTTGGAGCCTATAAATGTATCGAGTAGTGCATTTGTATTCTTTCCTTTGAATAACTGTGATAGTAGAGTCAACGCTGGTGGTTCTCACTGGAGCTTATTAGTATTTTCACGTCCAGAAAAAATATGCTTCCACTTTGATTCCTCAAAAGGAATCAATAGAGACATAGCCAAGGAATTTTCTAGAAAAATCATGGACTATCTGTTGGGCAAAGGCCTAGGTAGTTTCACGGAAGTAAACTGCCCTCAACAAGATAATGGATATGACTGTGGTTTATTTGTACTCTGCTTCACAGACATTCTATCCTATCATATTAAAGATAATAAAAAAATTGATAAATGCAATTTTGACACAGTCAAAAATACTGTTCGAAGTAAGCGTCAGAGTCTTTTAGAGTTTGTCAACGAACTGTCTGATAACTCTTAAAAAAAAACAAATGTCAAAGATATTCATAATTAATCCTTTATACTAATAAATAAAGTGTGCCAATATTACACAAAGTTTCTTATATATATTTATTAATGATTTCAAGAGAACAATTATCAGGAAACTCCTTAGATAATTTAGTCAGTTCTGCTTAATCGAGTGAGTCAATAACAAAAACGGCCACCAGGGCTCGCCACTTATTATAATTACCACATGGTAAGTTGAGCAGTAAGCGGCACGTTACGGCATCTCTCGTGATTTTCTAATTCCACGCTTTTCCTCAACTTCCAGACGGTTTCGTCGCCAACCATTCAGTCGACGTTGATCCAATGCATTTGGAGGTTTAAGCGTTTATGTGTCCGTGTAAGTTCTTAAAAACAACATCGTCTAGTGCTCTACTCGTCCATATGCCGTAGAAGGTAAAATTTTTCCCTCATAAAGCCGTCACATTACTTTCTTTGGTAGCCTAAGAAACAGTGTAGATTCGACAATTTTTTTGGTAACACTAAACCTCAGTGGTACTTTGTGAAAGGTTCTATTTACAGTCTGAAATGTCTCGTCGACTGTCATATACGTCAATAACGTATGTCGACAAAATTAGAACACCTTAAACAATCTCTGACAGATGTAAGGTACAATTTACAAAGTACAAAACGAATATTCTGTAAGACAGTGTAATTTCCAAGATTTATCGGAATTAACTATGAAATCAATCAACACTTGCCACGAGAATAGTCATTAACGATCTAAATTATCTAGATTGATACGTGATTATATCGCATAGGTTTCTATCAATGCACATAAATATAATACAAATTCCCTTAAATAATATTTCGACCTCGTAAATATTGCTATTTCCAATACTACGAGGACTCGATTCGTCGCGATCGCTAGTCAATTTATAGTCATTAATACAATGCATCATAAACCCTACTTCACTATTTTATAGCTACCAAGTTAACCTTATAATATTCTACTACCGTTAACAAGTGCATACCTGAGTTAAATTATTTCTACAAGCTTTTGAGGCTGATGATTAGATAATAATGTATACCTGCCGGTGTTAGAAATCATTACACTCTGGTACATTAACAAGATATTTAGAACGTGGAGGTTATAATGAATAACGAGGTGCATACGTTCTCTTGGAAAGTGTGAAAATTATTATTTTTTCTTTTGAGGTAACTGCATTGTGCCGCAGCCTTCCTGAAATACATACCTAGAACGGACGGGCTATGATCGATTACCGAAAACCGATAGTACTAAATGCTCTTCGTATCGTTATGTCCCAACTACATTACGTTTTATTAACTACCTTGCCAGAGATATTAATTTCTTTGAAATCGTCATCAAATAATAACCATATGTTTCTAAGAGCACTCTATGATCCTAATCATATTGTGTTCCTAAGAGATATCGCTTTATATTACATAAACGTACGACCTCCATAATCATTTTGACTTTCACTGTTTATTCTTACTGCCCACTGGCTCATGAGTTTTAAACTGTTTTAAAAGACTATCTATTTTCGTAGTATGATCGATATTCTATATAATCACAATATATTTGAACACATTTAGAATCCTATATATATATATATATGTCTTTGATAATCACACAGCCGTACATATTAAGTTTTTATCACACAACCAAAATTACTTTCGTCCGTAGTGAAATGCATACACATTATAAAAAGTGTACCTGGTTGGTAAAAACTTTTGTCATCAGAAGAATTACGTGAGACGTTCTGCCTGTTCCTTATTGTCAGCAAAAAATGGTTGTAACCATATGCAGTGTGTAGGAAAAAAAAAAAATATTTTCTTGATTATTTTTTAAATGCAGTGAGACCATATTGTTTTTTTTTTTCCAAAGAGTAACTGTTTTCTGATTTGGGAAAAGGCGGATTACCTGAAATCGTATAAATCCTGTTAATGGAGGTACGCATAAACGGATGGGTCTGAAAGGGTCGAATTTCATATATATATATATATATATATATATATATATATATATATATATAACGATGCAGAGGGATGACTGACCTAGGTTGAGTGTCTAACGTTACCCCCCAAATAATCAATATGTCCTCGACCCTATCCACTACATACTTCCAGCACGGATTTAAACAATAATCCGATAAATTGTAACATGTTAGAAGAAGATTTTTATGCGTACAAGATAAGTTTACAAGGATACTGATACTTAGGAAACTTTTTCTAGTCGTGAATAATGAAATTCATATACATAAATTCACACGAAGTGCGCGTTTATATCCGAACTCCACTACAAGTGTAGCTGATAAATACTAGCGTACGTATTATTAGTGCAGCGAAGTATAAAGTTCGCTAGCGTTGGATAAATTATTTATTCATTCGGGAAGCCATTTTTTTCTTATAACGGTAGGAACTTGACTCGTTTTAATAAAGCAGACTCATGTTATCGCTCTACGATAGATTCTTATTTGATTTGAAACAATGCTGACGCCTCTGCACAATTTTGTTTTATGGCCGCGTATCGCTTTTAATATTTCAAATGGTTATTTCTTTAAATCGTCGTTGACCGTTCTGTTATAGATACACTCGATTTCGCAATTTTGATAGTTATAACAATCTGTATGAACTTCCTGTGGCATATCACTTTCTGTCTGTGTTACGCAATATCTCTTAAATGTCAATTGCAATACCATGTGTCTTGAACTTCTGATAAACAACTTCCATAAAGATTTTCGATTAGCATTGCCAGGAGAAAATGTCCGTATTCTATTGAACGTTATACCGTTTCACTTCTAGTACCGAGATACTTTCGGTCGGGTGACTGTGCGTTTTCACTGCATCCTTGCGTTTTACGCTAGAACACCTCTAGAGTCAGGAACCAATGGTCCACAATGGAATAAGATATAAGACTAAAGTATCATTGAAATTATTTTTTATTATTTTCAAGAGGTGCCAGTACTAATTTAAAAATAACTGTAAATCCACAGGTAGCATGAGCTGGACGAATAGAATGGCTCTTTACGGGAGCGAGAGATCCCTACACTCGTTGTCAGCACAGTCTCCACAACCTGGTCGAACCCTGACCCCAGCACCTGTCACTTCAACCCCTAAATCCACCGGCAGAAACCCACCTATCAATTCTTCAATGACTGGAGGCACACCTGGTTCGACACTTGGGAAACAAAGTTATACCACCTCAGCTGGGGACTCGCGCATTCCCAGACCATCTCCGACCCCTCTGCGACGTTCCACCAGCATGCGCATGAGTGGAGAAGAAATTTCGTATCTACGACCCACTGCAGCCAGTTCAGCTAGACACCATCACCATCACAATCAGCACAGCCATCATCACCTACACCAGCAGTTCAATCAGCTGGATCACTTTCCCGTCATCACGGAAAATGGAAGCGAGTCACCGCGTCATCGTTCATTTGTAAGTCTAACTTAATTTTTAACGTTCAAGGATGGATTTGTTTTCTTAATCTTGGTACCAGCGTATCTGTGTTAATTATATTGAGGTATATTGGACAAATTTTATATTTGCATTGTTTCTTTTTGTCTAAGAGTTTTTCAAGCTTGGATAACTTCAGGGTAATACCAGGAAAACCAGATTGATATTTCAGGATCACTGCACTCGTTATCCCGGTACAGACTTCTTTCATGGAATTGGTAACATCGGGACTCACTTGTTCCTGTCAAGTTTATTTGATAAACTATCACAAGGGTATAACTGTACGGCGAATCGCTTCCAAGTCAAGTTAATTAAATCTAAGAGTCCAATGCGAGCAACGAGTTGCGCTCTAGTTTTGAAGCTACTGAGTCCACCTCGGCTCATCACATTGCCAATGGTAAGGGTAGCTCCCTGACCTTTGCAATGCGCGTCGGCGCACATCTGACACGGTGAAGCTCGCCGAGGCTCTTCTTATCCCCGGTGCTGTCAGTTATTCACGCGAACTCTACTTGGGTAGAGTACTGAGCTTTAGGCAGCTGTGAATTATTTATTATTTCTTCGTCCAAGTCTTTTCCGAGAGGATTCTCTTGTCTTCATGGAAATAATTTCGACCTTGCCGAGTCGCGCTGACGATAACGTTGGTGAATTTGCTAATTATGGATTCATTGAATGTCAGCCCACGAAGATGTTTTTCAGTAAGTCAATTTTTCTTGGGAGGCAATTAGCGATCCAGAGATCCAGTGTATAAGAAGGGTACAAGGAGTCCAAAATTGAAGGATTCAACCTGACAGCATAATCCGTGCAACTGGTAGTAAATAGACGGTGTAATATATATATGTTTTTTCTTGTGCTTTCAGAGTCTCTCACTGACCCCGGCCAGGCCGCGGCTTGGAAACACGGCCTCTGGAACCGGGGCCGACGACAGCGATGCGGAAAGCGTGAAAAGCTACGGCAGTGCGTGCAGCACAGCCAGTGCTTGCGATCACGCACATTTTGCCCTGAACGGTACAACTTGGTCGGGAAGATCTCGAAAGTACGTGGTGCACTGTGCAAATTATAACGGGGATGGCGATCAGTATCTGACACCTACCCAGCGGGCAGCCAGGCAAGTCAGGAAATTTCAAGTAAGTAAAACTTCTGTTACGTGTGTTGTTCCAATGTTTGCGAATCTTTTTTATGCATTTTCCTACATTACATTAACCTGATGATGGCGTAGGCTCTGCTGAAAGATGCAAGAAGGGAAATAGAGGAGAAGGACAAAGAAATATTCCGTCTAACCAAGGAAGTGGTGGAGTTACGTCTTTATAAAGCGTCCTTAAACAGTCCCGACGAGAGAACCGATAGTAGCGATGCTCTCACTGTTCGCGAGAACAACGCCTTATCACCAGAGTCACCCTGTAAGGATCTACCGGACGAAGGTGCCTTCGAGGCTAGTGCAAATCCTGAAACCCCAGATAAAAACGTATCATCGGATCTTCCATCATCTTTGGCTGATTCAGGACACTTTGAAGACGGTTCCATTCACTCTAAAGAATCTGTATGTCTACCTGGAAGCACGAGCAATGGTCAGAGTACCACGACGAGCACCTTCTCCACGAGCAGAGCTGCAGTGGAGCACGATGAAGAGAGACGTAGACTGGTTGCATTATACGAGAGTAGAATCGAGGAGATGCACAGAAGGCACATAGATGAAATACAAGAGTTAAAGGAAAAACACAACGACAAGGTAGAGAGTTTACTGACGCAATTTGCTGAAGTAAATAACCGTTACTGCGAGGTACGTCCGGCCATGGATGCGGCCGAGGCACGCACCAGAGAACTCGAGTCCGAGGTCGAGTCTTTGAAGACTGAGATATCAGAGCAGAAGAAAATGTTGGATGAGCAGGAGGAAAGAAATAAGACAATGTACCTGAAAATGTATGCCAAAGGACAGGAGGCGGCACGCATAGAGCATGCTGATCAGGTACCGCATGTTCTCTGGCTATGGCCTAGATGATTAGTACTAAACTAATAATACCTACTGATTTCAGATATTGGAACAGGCTCATCAGGCACCCTCGAAGGTTTCCGTGGCCGAGCTACTTCAGCAGCTGACCGTTACGCAGGCTGAACTAGAGAATGTTAAGGTAAGCCATCGCTCGATACTCCATTTAGTTATTTCTAGGATCATAGTCAATAAATGAAGTAGCCAATAGATAGCTAAGGGTAGCACACCCTTATCATAGTTTATGAAAATTTCATGAACCCACCTGGACGATGAACATTCATTCAGGAATAATAGTCGAGTTCTACCGGAGAAAATTATTTTCTGGGATATTAGAGAACAAAGCGCCTTAACGCATTAATAACTGAGCGAACAATACGTATCGTGTAACAACTTCACCTACTGTCTACGCTTCTCTCACATTCTCATTGTTATGTTTTATTAATGCGTAAATTAATTATTAGTTAATTAATTACTCGTGCCACTATGTATTAACGATACGCCAGATCTCGCCAACTTAATTACAGGATACAAGCTACTCGCCTGAACCTCACATTTCAGCCGATTGTAGCCAAAGTTTATTAAGTGCTAAGGAGGCTGTTTCTCTCTGGGTCCTTGGCACTCGTAAGGTCTGTATTCCTTACCCAAAACTGCCACGCGAATTTGCTGTATTTAATTTTGCATCATACTGTATATATTTATATAATATACCTGAGTGCACCACACCATCCGGATATTCCTTGGTTCCTGAACTCCTGATGTACTGAATCCTTTAGCACTTGCATCACTTACTTTCCAAATTTCTACCAAAACAACTCATTTCCCAAGTCATATTTGGATTCTGCAGTGCACTCTGTGTATCTATACGTTTAGAGATACAATCGTTTTACATTCTTACTGTATTATTTGATTGTAATTTAGTTGCTCTTACGGCAAGGACCATGGACACTCTGACTGACCAGAAATTATGTTTTTTACCTTTTCAATATTTTACATTATTACGTTTCACTAATGCAGGCTCAACTTAGCAGAGTCCTTAGTCACAGTGTGTAAAGTATTTAGTATGCAAATTTTTTTGAGCAAATCTTGTGTATATACGTGTTTTGAGCGAGCTTCGTTGCAACAGATTGCATGCCGACTTTTGCACAAAAAGTAAAAAGAAAAGAAAGACAGAATATTTATCACACATCGTCATAGATGATGGGCAGTATTATCCGGAGCACTTGGAAGAAACAGCCTCTTGTCTATTTAATTCGTAAGTCCCTGCACGCTTTCGAATGCATGAATGCCAGAAATTAGACGCTAAAAATTTCCTTTAGGCACTTCTAAAATCGATCAGAATCCCTGTATGTATTGATCGATGATTGATTTTTAAAATATGTTGTGAAACTCACGCTTATGGCTATATGTATATTGCATTTAAAATTTGTATAAAGAGTAATATTTAGAATTATCATTTAAGCACTTCTTGTACCAGGATATCATTAACAGGAAGTATATCAAAGAGAGACAATCTCGTTTCTATATTGAGAGAACAAAAAATATTCTTATCAATCCTAATCCACAGGCAATGTATCGGCGCATCGTGGAATCGCGAAGCAGCCAGGGAGCCCTCGATCCGGAAATTACGTTACAGTTCCTTAAATCTGCGGTCTACTACTTCCTTACTGACAAAGAAAATCATCACGGTCATCTTAACGCCATCGAGAGCATTCTGGGCTTTAGTGACGCCGAAAAGCTCAATATTGACAGGATCTATCGATCAGCTAGAAAGTAATTTATCCTATCATACATGATACATTGCATATATTTCTATATATTATATTGCGAAACTTTATGCCTTGATAGGAATATATACGTGTCGTTGTTGAACAAATCTGTACGATGCTCAGTTTATTGATATTTACATCTTCATTTGATTGATCCAATTTCGGTTTCAAACATGTAGGCCATTTCCTAATATTTACTTGACTACAACCAGATTTATTGGCTTTCATGAAAACATGTGTTTCTATCAGGACATATACTATATCGACAATTATGAATCACAAAAATGGCTCATGGTTAGTCCTGTACTGAAATTTATGAAGTTTTGAATGCCTGGTATAAACTGATCATCGGACACAATAAATTTTATCTGATGCTGCTACTGGCTAGCTGGCAATTTAATTCACATTATCAATATAATACTAGCTTGTAATACGTATACTAGATACGTTTCCGGGATTCGACGATTTATATTTAAGATTGGCAAATGGAGTCGCGCTGGTTTCTCTCTTCTTTTATCGTATTAACTGTATCGATTCTTCATACTGCGCGATTCATAATTTACAGGTGATACGGTCAATACGTCTTATTCGCTAAGTATTCTTTTTCTAGTATACTGAAACGCTAAGTGTTTGCCAAGAAGTAAACAAGGATGTATACAATTGTACCGCTTGATTCATTGCCGTCCTTCGTCGAGTGTATATACATCTATATACGATATATCAATATACAACAAAAAGTGTATTAGCGTGAATCCCAGAAAATTTAGAAAGATACAGATTTATTTATATATTGCGAAAAAGTGCGTATAATAACTATACCAGTCTGATTAAGGATTGAAAGAAAAAAGTTGGCGTCCAGATTCTAGGATAGACATAACACTAAGGAGACTGACGGAAATAATCTTGCCTTTTAAATCTGCATGTCACATATTAGATATTTGCGAACATTTTGTCAAAGGAATAGCAATCCTGGATGATGCTGTGAGTTGTTACTTTTTTTTTTGGTTTCCCCTGTAGTTATATGTATAAGCCAAAGAGATCGTATGTATCCTCTATGTTCTTACCTGTCTCTTAAATTTTGTATTGAAAATCATATATTTCTGCAACGAGGTATTTTTCGTCTGTGTTTGATAAACATGAAGAGTGCCAAGACTGTAAAATGATGTGTAAGTGCACAGTGACAGGAAATTTGTTTTTGATTGCTTCACTTGATTTGGGTCCAGTAATTAAATGTGGGGTTTTTTCATGGGGTTCATCCTATTCAAGACAGGCACTGTAGAGAGAGTAGGGGATTGCGAATTCCTGAGTAACTTTATAAATGAGGCTGATAGCTTCTTCCTATTTTTACTTGATTGTAATGTTATACACATAATGTTATAAGAGGCCTAGTACGTAGGGGTTGCACCCAGTTTAAGTGATGCAATTATGCTTTTAAACAAATTTCACCTTGAGAAAGTGTTCTTGACTTGTTCACTATTTCATTGCCAATATATTTCGAAGTCGATTCTTTATAGAGGCTTCGATGATTTATTATTAGTGGTATAACTGATGTAAATTATTTCATTATTCAATAAACAGTATTATATATTTCACGTGGAATTACTATGTGATATTTTATTGCATATTCATGCATGTGATATCGGTTAAATCTACAATTCATTAGATGGATAAAGTAGAGGTTAATATGCATGAGTGAATAATTGTAAAATGCAGAATTTGTGATTTTTTTGGTCTTTTTATTTATATATGTCAAAAGTAATATACAGGTTGTTGTGTATCTTACTTCTTGCCAGCCAAGATGATACCATCGTACTTCTGTTGGAACCACTTCATGGCATCTTCTTTGGTAAGCCTGTGCTGGAAGCCAACCTTACCTGTCTTCCTTCTCCTATGTGCTACGTTAAAACCTGAACAGAAAAGTCAGTAGATAAAAATACAATAGAGGCAATTACAGGTTTTCATGGATAATGCAGATTATTAAATAAAACATTGTAACTCCCATTAAGTAACACACCCAGTAAATTTAGTGGGCATGGGTTGCAAATAAGAAGCATTTAATCTAGCACATGTAATTATAAAAAGTAAACATTACTTAAGTCAGTAGCATTTACAATACCAGAAGATGTGCATAACTATTTACATTTGAGACCAAATGGGCCATGATTTAGTTTGAAAAGTGATTTATTTCCTCACTCTAACTTACCTGGACGACCAAGTACTACATAGAAGTCCAACCCATAGATACCAATGCTAGGATCGTATTTGATACCTAAATCAATGTGTTCCTGGATACCAAAACCGAAGTTTCCAGTGCCTGAGAAGTTCTCTTTGCGCAATTCGTATTCACGCACCTGAAATAGGAGTTTCAAAAATTATATTGAATATTCAGTAGAATGAAAACTATATACATAAATATACCATGAGCATATTGTTACCTTCAAGCCACGCTCCAGAATTTCCTCAGCTTTGGCACCACGTACAGTGCAATGAACGGCGATCTTTTCATTACGACGGATTCCAAAAGAACGCACAGTGTAACGAGCCTTTGAGAACACTGGCTGCTGTCCAGTCAATTGTTCCAACACCTGTAAAGAAATAATAATTTTGTTATTTACGCAATATATTTAATGAAGCATATCCATAATGTTTACATCTTTCTATGAACAATTTATTCAATGTTTTTCTCTTACCTTAGCAGCACGAGTGAGCCTATCACCTGACTCTCCAACACAAATGTTGAGGCAGAGTTTACGAATACGGACTTCCCGCATAACATTTTTAGAGGCATCTTTAGGCTCCTTCCTGACCTTCTTGACGGGGGCTTTCTTTTCGCTCTTTGCGTCCTATAAAATGGCATTATTATTACATTTAATAATAAATTAAAACATTCAATAACTCTATCTTGAAACGCGCGCGATAACAAATAGGTTATATTGCTCTCACAGAGCGTTTCGAAAACAAGCGTGTACACTGACCCTCCTGTCATGTCAAAAATTATATGTATACTGACGTTAAAATTAAAAATTATTAATGGCAAATTTAAGCTGGTATTTCCATTTTTTCAGATAACCATAGAAGATTCAGCTTATTCCAAGGATTCCTGGGATTTTGAACGATTCAAGAAAAGTTTGCTACGGCTACAGACATGCACTCACCGCCATGATGTAGTGGAAAGGAAATTTCACCGACTGGTGGTTTTCTTTCTAGCAGCAGAATGAGCAACTGTCTAACTAGAAAAATTTAGTGCTTTTTACGTTACAACGATAGTAAGGGTTGCTTTCCAATTGCACGACTAGTTTTGACGTATGTTCACAAATATTAGTACAAGATTTCTCTAAGGAGAAATGACATAGCAGATGCACTAAAATCGTTAAGCATATAAAGATTTTATACCTAACTGTCTTCACTACTGTAGATTATTCACGCAGCGATGTATCAATAAATTTCTACGCTACTCACCGCTGATTCCCAAAGCAACTCTTAGAACGAGACCGGGAACTATAGAACTTCTCAA